AAACCAAAGCTGAGCCCAGCGTCAGAAGTCTAGTTTTACAGGCAACGTCCTGTGATGTCAGTGGTGCGTGTTCGCCACTTTATTATATGTCTAAGCAGAACATGCACTTAATCTTTGGATGCTGAGGGAAATGGATGGGCTTCGGAGTGAATGTGCAGTTAAAAAACACCTTCATTTTTTGGACCTGTACATTAGGTGTTTTTGGAATACAGTCGCTTCCTCCTTGAGTTTCAAATATAAGACTGCTATAGTCACAGGACAATACTGAGAGGTGGAATCTTGTGTTACTGTCACTCTCGTTCCTTGTTTAGAAGCAGGAAAAAGTTGTATTTCAAATATCTATTTAAAAAAAAAAAGAATTTGCCTGCCAATACAGGAGACGTGGGTTCCATCTCTGAGTCAGGAAGATTCCCCTGGAGAAGGAAATGACAACCCACTCCAGCCTGGGAAACCCCATAGACAGAGGAGCCTGGCGGGCTCCAGTTCATGGGGTTGCAGAGTCAGACACGACTTAGAGACTAAACAACAACAATGTAGTTATCAAAAATGCTTTTAGTCTTTAAACAGTTTTATCATTTATCACTCTTGTGCAGAGATGAGCAAAACAAATTTGCTAAAACTTCCTCAAATGCAGGGTCCAGCTCCTCTGAATTCCTTGCCAGAGTCTTCAAGTACATTTTTCCACACACCATTTTAATCCGTAGCATTTAATAGCACAGCTTTTGATGAGAGAGCTCTGCTAGGACCTCCAGATTGTCTTTCTGTATACCCATTCTGCAGGCTTTGATCCTGGTGCTTGATCTTACTAGAAGGTGTTAATGGATATCTGAGACGAAACCAGGGTTCACTTTCCTACTTCTAAAGAGCAGGCCATGACTGGAGCTCATGACTGCCACCTGGCCAACGGTAGCTAGGACACCATTAATTCTGAAGTGAGATCGGTTGTAAGCTGCATCCCAATCTCAGAGATAAAGTTGATGATGAACTGAGGTATCCCTCATAAGGCCACTTTTGGGGTCATCTGTCCCGCCCAGCCTGACCAGTGCCACAAGCCTCATCCACTGATTGGTAGGCATCACCGCGTCAGACCAGGCCAGGCTGGGCCAAGTAGGTCCTGCAAACATGGAACAGGGACTGGCCTCTTGTTAGAGGAAAACACTAGGGCATGTGGAGTTGGCCTTTCCCACCATGGGGGTCATGACCAGAGAAAGCTAGGCCCGGGAGAGGAGTGAAGCCCCCACACAGAGGGGCTGAGATAGAGGGCAGGCTCACTGCTTATCCAGGGCTTCCTGGGGCCTGTGGCCAGTCCCTACCTGAGGCTGGGCTGTCACCTGGGTCCTGGGTTCAGGAGACACCCTGAAGTCTCATTTCCCCTTCATCTCTAAGCTGGCAAGGTGTCCAATAACTAGCAAAAGGTCCCACAACAGCACCTGAGCTGTGCTTGCTCAGACGGGGGCTCCCCACCTCTCCTGGAGCTTCAAAAGCCTCGATGGTCACAAAGTGGCCCCTAGAGCTTTCGTTTAGCTGAAGGGCTCCATCCCACCATGTCTGAGTGTCCCGAAAACCCCGGGCCATCTTGGCCTCGACGTGGGCTTCCAGCTCCGATATCCGGGTTTCCCCAGCGTCAGTGTGAAAGGGGACCCTCTCCAGTGCCACCCTGCAGGGCACCCATGTGGACCAGGCCCTTCAGTGGTTTTGCTGGCAGTGCTGCTGCTGTTACCTCTCTTCTGTCCCCCCAAGTTTGGCCTGATCTGGGGGCGAGGGAACAGCCTGTGACCTTGGGGGACTCTTGTCCATGTGAGGTCACCTACCCCATTAGGGGTTATTAGGGGTTATTAGGGGTTAAGCCCACAGCCTTCAGCCCCTCAGCCAGCGCCACTAACCAGCAACTCCCCCTACCCCCGAAACCACCCCCACTGGGCATAGTCATTCTGGCCCTTTGGGGGTTTCAGAGCTTTGAAACCTCTGTCTCCCTCGTCTGCAGATTGGCAGTTTTAGGGTTAGGGGTTCTGGTCAGCAACTGTGGCAGCCTTCCCAGGGCTGACATTTTGCGAGTTCAGGCTTCTGAAGCTGGGGTGGTTGAGCCAAAGCCTCAAGCCTGCAACAAAACTCACTGACGTCGGGGTAGGGGGGCTCAGGGTGGGGGCACCCAGCCTGTCCAGGGGCCTGGGTGATGAAGCAACTTAGTTTCCTATTGCTGCAGTAACTACCGCACATGTAGTGCCTGAAAATACGAATTTATTACCTTCCAGTTCAGAAACCTAAAATGGGTCAGCAGTGGGGCATTCCCACTGAGGCTCTAAGTGGGGCCTTCCATCTCCTTGCCTGTTCCAGCTTCTAGAAGACAGTGCGTTCCTTGGCTTTTGGCTTCATGTCATTCCAACTGCTACCTCCATCGTCACATCTCTGACACTGCTGCCTCACTATTCATCAAAGCCCACCCAGATAATCCAGAATAATGTCTCCACTAAGGCCTTTAACTCAGTTACACCTGCAAAGTCCTGTTTGTTATGTAAAGTAACATAGTCACAGGATCCAAGGGATTAGGACACGGACATCTTGTGAGGACCATTATTCAGCCCATCACAGAGCTCAAAGACTGGAAGAGGACTCCTCTTAGTGGTATTTCCCTAAATATACATATGTATCACTTGAACCTCTGACCCCAAAAGCCAGCAATAAGTAGCAAAGGGTCTTGAAATCACCCCTTTAGAAATACTTAAACAGATGACATATTCATAAATCAAACTCTTTAGTACTAATACGTTGGTGGTGTTCAGCAGTTTTGTATGCATCATGACAACGAGTGGGTTAGGGTGACTGAACACATAGAAGAACCCAGCATATAATAGCTTTGTGACTTTTCATCTGAAATGTGTAACTGAAATGAGATGTGTAATTTCAATTTTTGAGGTCTAAGAGAATTGTTAGTAAACAGCTTTGAACTGCTCCAGGGAACCTGATTTACTGCATTTATAATATTTCAATTGCTTTGTGCTGAGTTAAACTCTGCAGCTTGGATTTGAATCTTCCTGGGTTGGGAGTCTGATGCCCTGAAAAGAATGATTAAATCTTGCTAATATGTTTAAAATATTTAAAGGGATTTAACAAAGTTTGCAAATGGGGTTGTTCTGGAGGATTAAATCTGTTTAAATGTATGAATGATTAGGACACGGAAGAGTGTTTTTATTTTTACAGAAAAATTACATTATCAATAAAACAAGATGTCCATGATGAGCTTAAAAGCTTGAGAAATGAAATTTTAAGACTTTACCTCTTTTACGGATTGAAAATTATAGTCGTTTGCACACATATAAGCACCCTTGAACGTTGAGAAACTCAAACTCTTGAAGACTGGGGAATAACTCTGTAAACACACTTTGTTCAAATGACTCTTAAACATTCTTTTAAAGATTGATCATACCTCTGGAAATTGAGTGAGCTTTTGTGGGATTTTGTTTAATATTTTGGCCATGTTGCACAGCACGTGGGATCTTAGTTCCCTGACCAAGGGTTGAACTTACATCCCCTGCAGTGGAAGCTTGGAGTCTTAACTACCAGACCACCAGGGAAGTCCCTGAAAATTGAGGCTTATTAATGCACTTATACCCTGAGTTTAGGAAACTCTCTGGTTGGAACAATTTCCTTCTCCTCAACTCTTAAACCACAGTCTTCCCCACCAACCTGCTGTCACAGAAGACCCACCTTGAGCAGTTACGGCTTTCTGCCAGCCAGTGGGAAAACCTGCAATTATGGTTCCCAAAGCAAAAGCCAACCTCTCCCCATGTCCATTCTCCCGAATAGCCTTGCCTCTTTCCCAGGGCAGCGGGTGTTCCAGAAACTCACGGAACTAATTCCTAAACAAATGGGGCTTTCACTGAAAAACTGTCATCTCTGGCCCCAGTTCAATACGTTCCAATTTAGTCTTAGTCTTCTTATATGAGGGGACTTATATCATGTTAAGAGTTCTCTTTTAAAGAGATCCTTCAAGCGAATCCCTTAAAACTTAAAGTAGGATTGACCACAACTAACATTTACATGCACTAACACTTTAGGAGTTCTATATATGAGAGCATCAACTTTCCAGCAGCACTATTATTCCCTGTTAGTAGATGAGAGAACTATAGTGTCCAGTTTACCCATTTTGGAAATAGAAGTTGTAGGTTTGAACTCTGGCCGTCAGACTCCACAGACTCAACTCCCTGTTTTTGCCGCACCAAACTGCTTTACTCCTCGACACAGTTAGAACTGGAACACAGACCTGCAGCTTCCATTGCTAAATTATGTCTATAAATCACTGCACTGTTACGACACCGTTACTGGCAGTCCTCGCTGCCTGGACTGTGAGTAAAAGCCTCCAGGAGGAAAGATAGGCAAGGAGGAACAAACATAAGAAACAGATCTCCGGGGACCTTGCTTAAAGGCAGATTCGAATGAGAGGATTTGGGGTAGACCCGAGAGCCTGCATTTCCAACAGCCTCCCAGGTGAGGCTGGACAGCTGCTGCCTCCGGGACAGTCTGAAGAGTAGGGGATGAGATGACTTCCTGAGCGTCTCCAGCGGCAAAAATACAAGGAACCGGGGCGTGTAGATGTCACAGAGTTGTTTGATGATATGGGAAACAAAGGTGGGGTTTATTTTCAATGCACAGGAAACCATGTTTTCCTCTCGAAAACAAAACAGAAGTAGAAGGTTGAACGTGCCAGGGTCAAAAGCATACTAGGGGTGGTACAGGTGCTCCAACACCATCCTTGATCCCATGCACTCTTTTTGAAAACAGTAAGCAAGGAGCAAAGAACTGCCACGGGAGTGTTGCTGCTTTAACAGTGTGTGCCAAATAGGACCAAAGTTGTCCACACTTGTCAATTTTGTCCTGACCATTTTTAATAGGCAGTATTTGGGGGGCAAAAAGTGTGTGCTGATGAAGAGGGTAATTACATACCCCTCTGGACTTCAAAAATGAGAAGACAAGCCACATAAATTCTCTTCCTTTAGAAAACAGCCATTTCAAAAGATTTTCTTTAATATCATAAAATATTTTCATGGACAAGTGAGCTTGCAAACACACATGCACCAATGTGCCTTTTGACAGGATTGTCCCCTACCCTCACCTCCCACTCCCCCGTCAAGGTGGACACGAGATTGGAGAAATGAATACAGCAGATGGTACAGATAGAAAGAAAAAAAAATCGATAAAAAGGATGGATATAACATTGTGCTTGGTTATTCTCCTATGTCACAACAAAACAAAACATTTCGGTGCAAATAGTTAATTCTTCCTCTTTTCCATTTAAGTCTGGTGGAGAAAAAAATACTTTTTGTATAATAAAATATGTGGTTTTTTTTGTTTTTTTTTTTTACTTTTTTTTTAACGTAACTTTTTTTTCTTTTTTGCAGAAAATAATTTTGTAAACTGTCACTTCACGGGCAGGGAGCCTGGATGCCACACAGGTCCCAGCTCGCCCACTGGAGGCAGAGCGTGAAACCAAACCCGGGCGGGAGAAGGGGCAGAGCGGAGGCGCAGGGCGGGGCTCGCACAGCGGACGGGGCGGGGCGAGGGTGCGGGCCGGCCGGGGCGGGTTAGAGGTCACTCTCGCCGTACAGCGCCGTGGAGAAGGACATGTAGTCCAGAGCACCGGGCACAGCGTCGGGGCCGGTGTAGGGGGCCATTCGCGCGATGCAGTACTCGGCCTGGTCAGGCGGCAGCTCTCTGCGCAGCTCGTCCACCGTGATGTAGTTCTGCGGGAAGAATGCGCTCAGGGCGGCCGCAAAGCGCGGAGGTCGGGAACCTCACTCAGGAGGTGAGGTACCCTGCCCCGCTCCCTTTCTGACGCGTACATTACACATACCTGTATCAGGCATATACATAAATAAATTATATGATAGACACATATGTATATATGTTATCTATATATATATATACACATATCTATATATGTGTGTATATATAAATAACATATTTCAATCCCCTTAAGTTTTTCACTTCACTGCTTTAGCCTGTTCCCAAGTAATTCCAAGAGCTAACTGCACCTATAATCTTTTCATGTATCTCTCTAGCCTGCACCAGCCACAGGCTGGAACAATATTAGCAACACCATATTTGGTGAAACAGAGTAGGACTCCCACACCCACTCAGCTGGGCTCTGAGGTCACACAATTCTTGCAAATTAGAGGAGCATCCAGTTTGGGGCATCACTGCCACAGATAGATATCTTAACCTTCCCCCAGCCCATCTGGTTCCCAGTCTGGGGTGTCTGCTTCCTCCCTGTCTTGGGCTTGCCCATCAAAATCTACTTGGAACCTGCATCTTTGGGGAGTCTGAGGCTCCGCAAGCATTCAGGGACTCGCCCGACTTCTGCCAGAGTCTCCTAAAGGAGCCAGTATGAAGGAGACAGAAGCTGGCCCTCCAGTCACCTCAAGAGTCAGGAGACCAGGTCCCTTTCTGGGCCCTGGAGACCTCCTCGACTAAGTGAGTCGCTTCAAGGAGGTGGTTTCTGAGGATCCTTCCAGCTCCAAAGTGCTATGACTCTAAGAAGGTGTCCTCGAATCTAAGTAAGAGCTTTAGGAACCTCTTTGTTGCTTCAGTCTTTACTTCAATGTAGACTGAGACATTTCAGAAACTATTCTCCCTACTGGCTAAGGAAGGATGGCGTAAGGATTAGCCTATGAATTTTACAGAAAGGGAATCTGACCTCTAGACTCCTCTGCCCCCCAACCCCCCTGGATGCTCCTGCTTTCCCACTGTCGGGCCTGGCAGTGCAGGGAACTTGGGAGATTTGGAGATCTGAAGCTGACTGCTCTTAGGGTAGACAAATGAGAAACACGCTTCTTTCCTTCTTCCCATCTGCATGCCATGGCTTGTGCCCAGAATGATGCAGGGCTGAAGTCTTAAGTTCCCAGATTGACCTTTCATCACCCACTCACATACTCCATCTGATTGGACTGCCCTCCACCACCAGTCATTTCATCACCAGTATCTCATCATAAGTATGACATGCAGTGTCCATGGCAGGGGGCTCCCTTAAGCTAATGCTGTGTCCTAACCTCTCAGCTGATGCCCAAATGTTACAGAAATGGGTAGAGGTAGACAGCAATGAGGCTCAGGTGGGGAAGAAGGAGCAGCAGAGCTGCTCACGACCTCCCCTCCAATTCAGTCCACCTGCACATGATGCTCACATCACATCACAGCATACCCACCTTATCCCCGGCCAGGATCTTGAAGGAAGCCATGACTTGGTCTGCTGTATCTGTATCAGCTGTCTCACGAGACATAAAGTCGATGAAGGCCTGGAACGTCACCACCCCCAGGCGGTTGGGGTCCACGATGCTCATGATGCGGGCAAACTCTGCCTCTCCCTGGAGGGAAAAGCCAATCCCAGGCCTGTCAACCACAGTCTCCTCTCTCTATGGACCTGAAGCCTCTGGGGCCTCCAAGTGCTTGAGGCTGTCAGAGCGGGCCCCTGACCTAACCTGAGTTGTCTCGGCTTCCCACCCTCTATGGATGCCTGCATTCCTCTTGGAACAAAAATAATAATATGGATGATAACTAATGACAGCAATGGCTAACACTCAGCATATACTATATACCAGGCACTATTTTAAGTGCTGTGTAAAATTCATTTAACCCTCCTCACAACCACGAAGTAGGTTTTTATTTTATTATTTTCATCAGGTCTCCAGAGGAGAAACCTAAGGCCCAGGCAGGCTTAGTGACTCGCCAAAGGTCACACAGCCAGCGGGTAGTAGAGCTGAGACATAAACTTGGGCCTCCACCACACTGTCCATTCTATGTGTCAGACACGGCACAGCACTTACGTTGAGTTGCTTGGTTTAACAGTTGTGATGGTCTGGCAGTGTTCCCCTCACCTTATCTGGGCCCCCAAGCAGGGGATGACAGAGCTGGGGTTTATTCCCAGGTTCCTTGCTTCTAAAGCCCACGCCCTTGCTCCTGCGCTGGGCAGCCCAAGGGCTCCTTGGGCCTTGGGCAAGGACTTTGCAAGGTAGGCCAGGAGTTGCCTGGCTGCCCAGCTGAGGCCCCTGCCCTGCTCAGAAGGCCTGCATGAGGGCAAGGCAGCTGAGAAGGTTGGGAAGGGACTTGGGGCAATTAGCTAAGGGGCGGCAGGCCTGGCTGAAGCCATCACCAGGACAGAGGTGGAACTCTCTAGGCCTCACGTGAGATGTAGCCGAACCAACCCCCACCCAGAGTGCCCAGCACCGTCCTGCCCAGCAGCCTCGGGGTCAGCCCCACCATCCACGATGGGAGCAAAAAAAAAAAAGCCCACTTCCATTGTAAATATCAAAAGAGAAACCGGTAGAGAGAGGCGAGAAGGCCAGGTCTCCCGGACGCACACAGGCCCTGTAGCTGGGGCCCAGCCCTTTCAGGACACCATCTTCCCCACGGATCAGAATCTTGAGGCCCCTCCAGGGAGGGGAGCCCCTGAGCCTGAGGGCCTGCAGCCTGCCACGGCCAGGACTCGGCCTCTCCAGTCAGCTGGCTGGCTGCCCCTCGCCAGGGCAGAGGGTGGGGTTTACATTACCATGTTGTAACCCATGGAGATAAGGCAGGCGCGGAAATCATCCGTGTCCATCATGCCTGTCTTCTTCTGTGGGGTCAGGGGCATCAAGACACAAGGAGGAGAAAGGGCCGGCCGAGGGCCAGGAAGAGGGCACAGATGGCCAAAGGGGAGGTCGAGGTGTATGGTTTTGGGGGGCGAGGCGGGGGTCAGGAAGGGGAGAGGAACATAGGAGGAAGAGATGCAAATACACATCCGGGGAAGATATCCACAGGAAGGAGGAAGACAGAGCAGGGAGATGCAAAAATCCGTCCACGGGATGGAGCGCGACGAGGAGAGAGGAAGGTGGGCACCGCGCAGGTTCCCACGAAAGATAACCGAGGGCAGAGGTCAGAGGTCGGAGTAGTGGGAGGAGGAGCCCGCCAGGGGCCAGGCAGGGACAGCAGAAGACGAGCCCCGCGGCCCACAGGAAAGGGGAGGCAAGGAGATCCAGACAGAGAGAAGAGAGAGAAAAGAAAAAAGGAGAAACGCGTTATTTCTCGCCCCGGACGCCACCCCTGAGCGTGCTCCATGCAGGAGGCGAGTACCTGGGGGTCGTTGCCAATATCATAACCCAAGCTGATGAGGCAGGCTTTGAACTCCTCGGGACCCAGCGTGCCGGAGTGATCCTGGGGCCGCCGTGCGCCAGCCAGCGAGCCATGCGGTGCCAGGGAGGTGGAGGCCGTGAGGGGGAAGGGGTGGGCCATGCCCCAGTGGAGGGTAGCGTGTGTGGGCAGAGACAGGGATGAAGGCATGCGGATGGGGAAGGTGGAGGGTGGAGGGGCGGGGGGAGGAGGGAAATAAAAGTGCACAAGGTTAGACACACGGACGTGGTCCAGAGGGTGACCCTCTCCCCGGTACACGAAGCTGTCCTGCCCCGGGGGAGCAGGCCGGAGGGAAGCATGGTGAGCCATGGGGGTAAGAAGCTCCCCCAGAAGAGTGCCCAGCCCACCTCCAGCCCCGATGCCCTGAGCAGGGTTTCCAGGAGGACGCCACCCACCCAGGTGCCTGGAGGGCAATGAAGCAGGCAGGGGTGGTGGGCAGCACCCAAGCCCATGCTCCCACCCACTGTGGCCACCACAAAGCCCCAAGGCACTGGGAGGGGTAGCCCACGCAAAACTGGATGAGAATCCAGGAGGACTGGTAACTCTGACACCTCTTTCAGGGGTCAGAAAGGCTACCCCTGGGGCTGCAGGGAGGAGGGAGGCTCTGCTGTGTCCCCAGGCGCAGGCAGGGGATGGTCCCCATAGCTAGGGACAGCAGGTCCTCCCTCGAGGCTATGGCAGCCTTGCCCCCAGGGGGTGACTCCTCATGGTAGGAGAGCAAGGGTCACGGGTCTGAGGGCTTCTCTTCACCCACAACACGAGCTCTCTCCAGGAAAGCAGGGATGCTTATGGGACACCTGGACAGCTTCTAAGGCCAGCCTGGGGTGGTGGAGAGTCAGAGCAGGCTGACTGCAGTTCCTCCCTCCCCCTCCTCTTCTTCACTTGCCCAGGAAGTGGGCCCATGCCCTGGGCAGTGCCCTCCAGGGCCCTGGGGCCGGGGCTGCCCTCAGCAAGTGCAGGGGTGGAGCTCACCCGGTCAAAGTGGTTGAAGGAGGCCCGGAACTCATTCATCTGCTCCTGGCTGATGCCCTTGGCGTCCCTGGTCAGGATCTGGTTCTCCACCTCGTTGATGGTCCTGGCGATGGTGGTAAGGAGCTGCTCCCAGCCCACACGGATGTGCTGCAGGCAGGCAAGGCACGTCAGCAAAGGGGTCCCAGGACTGGCCCGGGCCGCCCCTCCCTGCTCCCTCCCCTGACCATCAAAATGACCAGTGCAATCAAACCAGGCCTGCTGCCCATATTAACAGAGTCACCAGGCACAGGGAAACCAAGACAAGGACAGCAAACCAGGACAGAGGACCCAGATGATGAAGAGGGAAGCACAGAAGGGTGATGGTTTCTGCCTGGAACAGCAGAGACCAGAATGACCAGCGCAGTCAGGTCAGGAAAAAGGGCAAAGTTGACAGTGGGGAAGATCAAAGGACACAAAAGTGGGTAATTCCCTGAACATCCAACTCTATAACCTCACACCCATGCCTTCATGGCCAAAACAAGTAGGTCATTTAAAAAGCAGAGGCCAAACCAGTGTCTGGTGACCAGCAGTCTCAGAATCACCAGGTACTTGTTAAAAAATTTAGATACCCGAGTCCCATCCTAGACCTAGTGAATCAAATTCTGGGACAGCGCCTGGAAATCTGCATTCTCAGCAAGCCCCTTGGGAAATTCACAAGGCCCTGAGGACCAAAGACCCAGAGCCCCAGGAGGGAAGAGAAGTGAGTATCCTCTCACTTAAAAGCTAGGGTTTATCCTACTACACGACCAGTCTTCTTGGAATGATGGGTGACCCCCCCACCACTTTCCCAGCCCAGGATGGGGAAGCAGAAGGGGGATCCGGGGCTCCCTTTCCAGGGGAGCAAGGCTGGTGGCCCCCACCTCCATGGTGTAGTTGGTGTGCTTGTTGTCGAAGATGAGCGCCTCCTGGATGAGCTGGTGGTCGCCCTCCAGCTGGTCGATCTTAGGCTTGTAGTTGACGATGCTCTTCTCATATTGCCGCAGGTGGTTGAGCTGGTCCTCCAGGGTCCCATGCATCTCAATGGAGATCCTTCCGATCTCCTGCTCACCCAGAAAGGAGGCCCTTGTGAGACCTATGCACTCTGGGCCCCCAGGGTGGAGACTGGGGCCCCCAGGTCACTGAAAAACCCCTCTGATGGTTCTTGGCATGGAAATAGCATCATAAAGGAATCTGACCAGCACTGACTGATATCACCAGATGAATACCTCCCATCTCCCAGGTACCCCTCAGCCTCAGGAAGGGGATGCAAGGTCAGTTGCCAACTTAAAGGTTCACTCCTCTGCCTGCAATTCAAACTCCCATCCCAAGCCTGTTCCCAGCTACCATCCATCTCAGGGAAGTTCTCCCCCTGAGCTGGGTTCCTCAGAGCCTCAGGGCACCTGGCTCACCTTCTCAGTGAACATGCTCCTGCTGTTCTGTTCCTCGGAGGCCTGCCTTGCCCACCTCAATCCCACCTGTCTCCATGGTCCAAGCCTAATCCCCATCTCTGTCTTTCATCCATGTAAACACACCTAGCTTGTGAAAGCACTTTCTGGGAACTCAGTCCAACTTAGCAAGTATTTCTGGAGCACCTACTACTATGCATAATGTGCTAAGCAGGTGGAGATGGGGTCCAGAGAAGCACACAGCAACTTGACATGGTCTCTGCCCTCAAGGAATTCAGAAGGACACCACGCTCTAACCCAAGTAGTGTTCCTTCCTTATCTATATCACCCTGATACCCAGTCCAACAATACAGCACCCTGATACCCAGTCCAACAATACAGCAAAGAATTTCACGCTTGCCCAAAGCACAGTTCTCTCTCTGGGGAGATCACCTCCTTCTGGCCAAGCTCATGACTCAGGAGGAAGGGAGACCAGCTCAACCACATATGCCACAGGGCAAGCCGAATCAGTCACCTAGGCACTGATCCTTCCGTGGGACTGTCTCATGTGTGTCCCTGTGTGGACACGGGTCCCACACCCTCCATGGGGCAGCAGACCAGCTGTGGGTTCAGGACCCACAGTGCGCACAGGTCCCGTCCAGGAGGAGACAGGGCAAGCTTGACTGTCTGGGATGGTGTGGGGAAGGGTGGAAGCCCCTGCCCTGCCTCCCATGCTGGGACCCACCTCCATCTTGGTCTGAATCCAGGGCCCGATGACGTTGGCCTGGGCCCCAAACTGTTTGCGTAGCCTTTCGTTGTGCTGCTGGCGGGTGTGCTCCTCCGTCAGGGCCTGGTCCCTCCGTGGCACCAGCTGCCGCACCTGGGGCAGGAACAATCAGGGGACATTGGGATGAGCCAGCCATCTGCCTCCATGTCACGAGAAATGGAGGAGCCACGAAGGGAAGGGGCCAGGCAGTAACAGGAGTGAACACATTGACCCGTTCTAGAAATTCACTCATTTACTTAACGGACAAGAGCACTTACTGTATGACACTGAAATCAATGAAAATCAACAATACAGACAAAGATCCCTGCCCTTCTGAAACTTACAATGGCTCCGCCAGCGCCCCACCCAGCCCTTAGACTCACATGGTCCCATTTGCCATTGATCTCCTGAGGCGTGATGGTTGTGTAGGGGTTGGTGCCTGCCATGTTGACGTGGTAGGTCTGGACAATCTTGGACACCTCGTTGTGGATGCCCAGGATGGCCAGGCGCTCCTTGTCAGCATCGGGGAGGGTGGCCTTGAACTGCTCATGGGCTGTGGTCAGTCCCTGGAGAGAGACGGGCATGCAGAAGCAGCACAGTGACTGGGAGGGACTGGTGCCTCCCAGGGGCAAGATAAGCCACGAGAGACCTGCAGGTCCCAGGGCAGAAGTGGGTGAAGGGGCCGGCCTCCGGTGGCCCCTGGGCATCAACTGGAGGCATCAACCCAGGACTCTTTCGGCTGAGAACCAGGATGGCTGGGCTGGCCCCAGGAAGGTGCCACAGCTTCATGCTCAGGGCTGGTGAATTCAGCAGCAATCTCCCTGGGGTGCTCACCACCCCCTAGTTAGTTGGGGACAAGGGGTACCCTGGGTCTGCTCAAGTGACCTCTCCCAACACACGTTTCTCATTATTCTGCAAAACCTTTTTCATCTAACACTCTGCAGCTGTACAAAAGAATGGCTTATTGCAGTGAAATGAGCTCCAAGATAATTATGAGGTTAGAAATAAAGGTTTGGGATACAGTATATAATAGAAGCTACTTTTTATGTGAAACGGGGGGGGGGGGAGAACATATTAATAAACAAATGTGCTCGCCTATGCAGACTGTCCCGCTCCCCTCTGGGGAGGCACACTGGGGGGGCTGGGGGACAAAGGCTAGGAGGGAAACTCACTGCATAGTCTCTTTAGCTTGTAGATTTGATACCATTTGATAATATATATGCATATATTACAGAATCTAAATAAATAAAACACAAAGCTTTCAAATCTAGAACATCCTTGGGGAGGCTACCCTCAGCCTTCTCCCTACAAGGGCAGTCCTGCAGGAAGGGGACTGGCGGAATGTGGGCTGTGTGGAGCCAGCCTCTGGGGACAGGGGGCCAGCCGCACACCTGGATCTCCTCGATGGTGTGCACGATGAAGGTGTCCTGCAGGTCCTCCATGGCCCCCTCCATCCAGTTGTTGAAGGGCGCGGCCCGCTTGGCGTACTCCAGGTACAGCTGGTCAATGGTCTCCAGCAGCTTCTCCGTGCGCTGCGAGTGCCAAATGGCGTGGGATGGGTAGGTGCTTCGTAAAGTCATGTCCAGAATCACCAACCCCCCACCCAACCCAGCAGACTTCAAGATCCTCCGGACCAGCCAGAGAGTTTCAGGTCTGGAAGGAGCAGACTAACTCAGAACAGATTCTCTAGAGTGCTGGTTCTTAATATGGGGCGTATGGACCACCCCACACTGGAATCACTCGCCTAGCCCCCAGAGAGCCTGGTCTGGAGAACAGGAAGGTTCTCAAACAGCTGGGGCTTGGTCCAAGCACACTAAATCAAGAGGAGGAGAAGATATGATCAGGGCATCTCCATCAGGGCAAAGGTCAAGTCTAGTGCCAATGTGAGCCTTCCCTGGTCAGACTAGGCCTGGGGAAGGTCTGAGGAACCCAGTGGAGCCTCTTAGCGCAAAGCAAAGGGAGTCAGGAAGCAGGAAGGAGCACACAGGGCTGCCGGAGGCAGGTCTCCGTCTCCTCAGGGGCCCTCACCTCCAGAGCTTCCCTCCGCTTCTGGGTTAGGGCCCCTAGATTGTCCCACTGGTCACAGATCTTTTGGCACCGGGCGTTGACACTGGGTGAGTCGTAATAGTCCAGCTCACTGCGGGGGAGGAGAGAGGAAGAGTCGGGTGACCCAGGTTACCTCTGTGGCCTGCTCTCCTTGCCCTGGGGCTGGGGCGCTCATGACACAGGAAGGCCAGGTGTGCGCGCTTCATCAAGAACTTCCAGGACCCCTACTCCCATCCTCAACCTCTGGGCTTTCAGGAGACTGCTGGAAGGGGACCAGCTCTCCTCTGCACGGGCCCCCGCCCCAACCTGACCTGGAGGCCACGCCAGCCTTGACTGCAATGGCCAGTGACAGGAAGCCACTAAGATCAGGCAAGATCTCAGAGCCATACTCGGTCACCCTCTGGTCCCACACTGGCTGTAGGTAAGGACCAAAGGCCTGTGACAGAATGGTCGCAGGCTATTCCACACCTGCAAGGATGTCCTTAGTCTTCTATATCAATGACCTTCCTGCCCCAGGACCCGGCTCACTTTTCAGGCCACCGCCCACCTCCCACAGTGCTGCAGTGCCCGCTGAGCTTACTTGAGCTCCTGGGCAATGGCGGCAATCTGCTCCACGCGGTCCTGGTGGGCGGCCAGGTCACTCTCGAAGGCCTCGTGCTTCTTGAGCAGGGCCTTGATCTCCGAGAGGGTAGCTGTCTCGTAATCCTTCTGCCGCAGCATGGCCTCTTTGCCTGGGGTTCAGAGGTCAGGCACAAGGCTGAGCAGGAGCCAGGAGACCCACATTCTTGATCTCAACCACCCCCACCCTCAGGGCCTGGGAGTTCCACTTCCGGTATATTCCAAGGAGATAGATGTGCCCCATATGATGATCAATTATCTGCAGTTCAAGAAAACAGATATATATATGCAGCCGGAACATGGGCGATGGGGCAGAGGTGGGAAAGTCACTCCTTTTCATGGAGTATGCCAGGGCCACCAGGAGTGGTGATGTACAGACGATGCAGGCTAAGTGGACAGGCAGGGTATAACACGAACTTTATAAACAGCAGGAAACAACGATCTATGCCTGCAGTATAACCTGGGGAAAACAAGTTCCTCAGGGGTACCCCATCTTTAGAGTTTTCTCCACTTACAGTTGCTGGCCCCCAGCAGCCCTGCAAGGACCCCCCCCCCCTCAATTACACCCAGTGTGGGCAGCCTGTCCAGTGCACCCTGCACATTAGCCATCAGTAACCAGCACCTTCTCCAAGCATCAGGTGCCCGGCCCTCTCTTTTAAGGGGTGAGGCAAGGCTTGCATTTCTTGGATTTTTGTTTCCAAAGGGAAGAAAATGAGAATCGACCTCTCAGATCGCTGTTAGATGATGGTCCCCAGCTGCCCTGTGAAGCGGCTGCTTTAGGACAGAGACTGACCTGGCCTTGCCTGCATGCCCACCTCCGCTGTTTGCCCCACCAGGGAGGCTCAGCAACTCTCAGGAAATGAGGGCTGGGCCAAAGAGGTGATGGCTTCTTTCCTTCTCTCTACTCCTTTTTGTCAGAATATTAATATGACGAGTTTAGGGGGGAAAAAAAAAATCACAGATGAGCCTACTTATCTACTCCTTCCCAGTCTCGCCTGCTATGGATGTTGCGTTAAAACCACTGGGTGTATATAAATTATATATCCTGCTTTTAAAATACTCAGCAGCACATCACCAGTTTCTACACTGGCACCACGACCATCACATGAGTCACTCTGATGGCCCCGTAACATTCTGTCGAGTGGCTGAACTGGTGTAACCACACACTGCACTACCGTGGAGCATGCAGGCCCCTCAGCTGGCAGTACTGTAGATGGACTCATCGCAAACATCCCAGACACGTGATTTCAGCCACGTTTAGGGGTTTTAGACAGCCTCAATAAATGCAATTCTTAAGTAACTAGGCAACAGCATTGTCAGCTGTGAGTACATATAGCCAGACTGCTATGTCGGCATCTATTGGAGGCACGCCGGCACTTCTCATTCCTTTGCTGGTGGCTGGCGGGGCCAGTCTTTGCTCTGTACCTTTTTGTGAGCTGTTCCTTGGCCCCAGAGAGAACACAATAGAAGTGTGTGGGTGAATCGGTGCAAACTCCACCATCCCCCTTCTCCTCCATCCACCCGTGCCTGGATAGATAGCTCACACAAGCACTGTGGAAGGCGTGGCAGTGACCAAGTATCATCATATATGCAGCCCAGCAAACCCCTCTGCTGAGTCATGAACACACCTATGCCCTCCTGTTCCAAGCCACTCACAAATGGCCCCAGGATGCGGCTGTCCCTACTCATCTCTAGCCTAATGTCTGAGGACCATCGCAGAGATGAATGGGGCATCTCAGGGTACTGAGCTCTACCAGCCAATGGGTCTGCTCCAGGGGCTCCAGCTGAAATGACCGCAGGGCTCTAGGAGATGGGTAGCATGGCTCACTCTCCAGCCCCAGCCCAGGTTCTGAGGAAAAGACAATTTTAGGTGTGATCTTCTCTCTTTGGAGAAGATCATCTGCCAACAAGCAGACACCAGACATGGCCAAGTGCCTCCAGGTCAGAGCGATGGAGACACACAGGTGCTAAGGCCAGAGCTCCAGGTTACCACAATGGAGAGAAGGCAGAGGAGGGAAGATATCAAGGGCTCCCATTTACCGAGTGTGTTCCATGTGCCAGGCACTCGGCTACACATAAAATGCACAACTGCACGAGGAGGTATGCTGAGTTAATAGTGTCCCTCTAAAACTCGTGTCAACCCAGAACCTCAGAGTCTGACCTTATTTGGAAATAGGGTCTTTGCCAATATAATTAGCTAAGATGAGGTCATACTGGATTAGTTGTTGTTTAGTCACTAAGATGTGTCTGACTCTTTGCAACTCCATGGACTGTAGTCCCCCAGGTTCCTCTGTCCATGGGATTTCCCAGGCAAGAATACTGGAGCAGGTTGTCATTTCCTGCTCCAGGGCATAGTCTAGACTCAGGGATTAAACCTGTATCTCTTGCATCTCCTGCATTGGCAGGCAGATTCTTTACCACTCTCCCACCTGGCAAACCCTACTGGATTAGAGTGGGCCCTAAATCCAATGACTGGTGTCTTCAGTAAAAAAAAAAAAAAACAGGCAGATTGGGTCACTGAGACCCAGAGAGAAGCAGCCGGTGATGATGGAGGCAGAGATTAGAGTGATGCTGCTACAAGCGAAGGAACACCGAGAAGTGCCAGTAAAACCACCTGACACTAGGAAGAAGCAGGGGACGCCTCCCCTCAGAGGCTTTAGAAGGAGCCAGTGCTGACGTCACTTTAATTCAGGACTTCTAGTCTCCTGAACTGTGACAGAATGCACTTATATCACATAAAACCACCCAGTTTATGGTAATTTGAAGACCTAAGAAACTAATACAGGAGGGCATATCATCACCTGCATATAACAGACAAGGACACAAGACCACTGGTCCAAGATACATTGCTTCTAGGCGGTAGAATCAGCACATGAACCCCAATCCAACTCAGGGAAGAGAAATCACTACAGTCACAAGAATAATTAACAAATATATAGCACTGTACGAATGCCAGGAACTCCTCTCATTGCTTCTGATGTATTATGCCATTTAATTCTCATAAACATATTAAGTTGGTACTATTATTGTCCCCGCTTAGCAGAGGAGAAAACTGAAGCAACCAAAAGACTAACGAGGGACTTCCTTGATGGTCCAGTGGTTAAGACTCTGCACTTCCAGTGCAGAGGTGGCAGGTTTGATCCTTGGTCAGGGAACCAAGATCCCATGTGCCATGGGGAGTGGCCAATATAAAAAGGGGTTAGGGTGGGTCATGAACTAGGCTAATGTTAAGGAACAGTTAAGAGACAAAACAGATAAAACCTAAGAGAGAAAGGAGTTGTGGCTGGTGGTTTGGGTGGGGGAGCATGAAAGCTAGAGCCAGGCTTGGGGTGGGGGGCAGGGGCTAGGCTGGTCTTACCATCCGTCCAGGCCTCGTGGATGGAGGCTTTCTGCCGGAACTTTTCTGCCAGGTGGTCGAGCCGCTCCAGCCTCCGGATCTCATTCAGCAACCACTCCTCATAGCCCTTCTCCGCCTGCTCCAGGCAGCCCCAGGCGTTGTTGATGTCCTGCAGGGATGGCAGGCACAGGGTCAGCCCTCCTGGCCCCCTAGACCCCAGGGCTCCTCCATGCCTTCCAGGAGGAGCCTCCTCCCCACCCAGCCCCCCATGGTATGACCTAGGGTTCCTGGGGAACCAGGCCTCCTGGGCAGGGAAGTGGTGCCATGCTGCCATGGGGCGTTAGCAGTGCATCCCAGTGGGGAGAGAGCCCGAGGCCCTCTGGGCTCCAGGACCGGCTTCTGACAGGACTCTGAGCAACCACAGAGGTCACAGGGCCAGCCAGGGAGACAGGGCAACAGACTCAACGAGGCAGGCAGGGGTGGAGGCCTCCCAGCCTCCTCACGTATCTGGGTTTACTCTCGGGCTCTGGACAGTAGCCTGGAGCCTCCAAGGACCCTGGCCTGGCTGAGCCATCCCAGAGTCACCCAGAGATAGTGACAGGTAATGAGCACAAACCCACAGGCGTTCAGACAGGGAGCTGCCCCCTACAGTTAGCACAAGGACACCCCCCCGGGCAGTGATAGGCTGTCCAGCTCACATGCCACCCAGGCCCTCGCCATGTGCCAGGGACCACATTGTCTCTGCCACAGGAGGACACATTAAAGCACAGAGCACCCCCCATCGAGTAGCAGCTCCAGCCATATAAAAGCTGCTGACTCGGCCTGGAATCTGTAAAAGGACCAGTTTTCCAAACCACATGCACAACGTCAGGCCTTTCTCTACTCCCCCAGGGTCCGCCCTCCTTCCAGTGTTGTTCACAAGTTTCTCCCAGCCCCTTCCACGCCTGCCTCATGTGCCCATGACTCCTTGTCAACTCTCCTCTGCGAAGTGCAAAAGCTCTATCCTGATCAATTTTTATTTATTATTTTTTTAATTTTAAAATTTTTGTTTGCATGTTTCTCTAGCTCATATCTCAAGTCCTGGGGAAAGAGTAAACAGGGAGGAATAACAAAAAATGACAAAAATGAAAAAAAGTTATGACATGGAAAGCTGGTCACAATATAATTAGTTCTTTCTTTCTTTTTTTTGGTCATGCCATGTAGCATGGGGGATTTTAGTTTTCCCACCAGGGATTGAACCTGTGCCCCACGCAGTGGAAGCATGTAATCTTAACCACCAGGAAAATCCCCAGAAGTTCTTTTTTCTAAGCAGCTTATTAAATAAAAGATGCTTTCAGATTCCCTTTAAAATCACATTTACAGAGACTAAAAGAGTCTCTTCTCCCCAAAATCTTTTAAGTTGATCCTGGGTAGGAAGATTATGAAGAATTTCTATTTTTTGTATTTTACTTATTTACATATTTGAAAATATCCTACCCCAAAAAAAAATCTATTATTTAAGATTTTTTAAAAAAAGTTTTTAAGTGCTGAAACAAGAGTCCATGAAGTGAAAATTATCCTTCTAGCTCCTGAATTATGCCCTGTTTGGGTCAACATGTCAAGTGGGATTTTGTTGGCTGAGATGACTCTTTGATGGGTAGGGAGGAAAGTGCTGGGGCAGATCCAAGTGGTGTGCAGGGGTCTGGAAAGGACAAGTATGACCCGGGGTGTTCCTTCTGAGATCAAAGGCTTCATGACGCCTGGCCACTAGGATAGGTCAACTCAGCCAGCATCACTCAACCTCCTTGCTCCGCAAGGGGAAACCTGGGGGCAAGATGGCTCAACTCAGCAGGAGACCCAAGCTCTAGTCTCCCTCTACTACCTGGCTGGGCCTCAATGTCCCTATCTTACCATGGAGGGGTGAACGGTTGCTGGCCAGAGTCCCTGCCATCTTAACTTCTAGGACTCTAGAATGTGGGTCCCTGACTCAAAAGGGAAAAAGCCTGCAGAGGACAGCCTGAATTTTGTTTCCTCAATGAGATGATGGGGGTGGAGGAGTGGAAACGATAAGAGGAAACTTGTGATCCCCTGCAACTAGATCACGTGGCCTGGACTAACTCATCTAAATAATGATGACAAGCTAAGTCATCATGGGATTAAGTGCTGTGACCCTCCCCGCCGGTGGCGGGGGACATAACCAAAGCACTGTGAGCTTCTGTGACTTGCCAAGGTGACCAGTTTAGGGCAGGGATTAAATCCAGGCACTGGGGCCCCAGAACCTAGGCTCTTACTATGCTGGGGAATGGCAAGTCCACCAAGAGGCCGGGCTAAGCTGTTCAGGGGCTGAATTAAGGAAGGAGCAACTGGTGCTCTAACCTAAATGCACCCAGTGGCAGAACAGCAAACCCATCCTGCCCCCTCCTGTTCCCTGGGTGGGCCCAGTCACTAAGCTAGCCTGAGCCAGCGTGATTTATCCCTGGTTCACATCCTCTCAGAACTGCACACTCCTTTTAAGTTCAAACAAAACTCCCAGAGTAACAGTACGCTGGGCCCAAAAGGCCTCTGAGGTCTCTTGGCATAGCTTTCATTTGTCAAGTGGAAAAAAAACAAGAGTAGAGAGGTGACAGAAAAAGCCTGGAACTCAGCTCTCCAAAGTCCCGACTGGCCCCTAACCCACCCACTACCCCTGATTTCTGGGAGAGCCCAAGCCGCCCTCGGTCAGCAGCTGGGACGAGGGGCAATGCCCAGTCTGGGACTGTGCCCAGGGATGGATTTGGAGGAATGGATGGGTTCTGGGGGCTGCCTGGCCTCTCAGGACAGGGTGGCAAGGCCTTGCCGGGGCCAGACCAGGAGAACCCAGGGGTACCCACATCACTGGCCAGCTTCTCGTAGTCCTCCATGAGCTGCTCGTTCTCCTGGTTGACGGCCAGCACCTTGCAGATGCGATTGGCTGCTGTCTCGGCCTGGCAAGACAGAGAGGGTGGTGGTCAGCCTCGCAACATCGGGAGTGCCTGGCACACGCCTGCGCCAATAAGGTCTCCTCCCACCCCTACAGCATCACATGGCTGGAAGGCAGCTCCCAAGACTTTGAATTCACAGGCTCCTCACCATCCTCTTTACCAGCCCAGGCTGAGTCCCACAGAGCAAGTAAGCACAGACAGAGACCTAAGTGGCTGAACTGGGGGCCCCTGGAGAAGAGACTGAGAGTTTGATATATGTTGAGATCCAACATATATGTTGGAAATAGACTAAGTCAATGATTGATATAATTGAGATGCTGCGCTTAGGTGGAAGGTGAGAAAATCTATGCCCATCCTTGGAATTCCAAGTAGAGACCCTGGGATTCCGAAGGCTCAGGCTCAGGCTCTCAGACTGGCTCTGCCATTTTGGAGATGCAGGAATTTATATCTGGGAGTCCTAGAATAAGATGCTGAGATGGAGTGGGGCCCCTCAGGATCGCTGCAGAATCTCTCAAGGCTCCTGGCCCACAGAATTTTAAAGAAGATGCAGGAATTAAAGGATCATAGACAGGATGTCCAGAAAGCCAGCCTGGGCACCTCTAGGAAAGGTAAACACACATCGCAGACCGAGTGCTGGGCCAGCAGACACCCAAGGGGGGCCAGGTGGCAAGAAGAAGAAAAGAAGACTGAATGGCAATCAGATGCAAAGGCCCAGAAACCCAGGGGACACAGCTTCTCTGGCTCAGAGGGCACTCTGCACCTGACACCAGCAGGGCCAGGTGCGCCTTAACCCACTTTGCTCAGGTGATTTTTAAATACAATTCCTGTTCACAATCCTAACCCTGCTCCAAGCGGAGGGGAACTCGAAGCCATTTGGGGTCCTGCGATAGGAAGGAAGATGGCCTGAGGATGGCAGCAGGCAATCATGATGAGTAGACAGATACATATCTGGGGCGTGGGAGAAGGGTGACCCTGCAGATGGCAAAGGTTGAAGAAGGAGAAAGATGGGACCTTGAACCTAGTTGATGAACAATGGGTTTCAAACTGCAGCAAGATAAACTGAGTTGAGGCATCAAGAAGAAGTTCCTGAGAATGAGGGTGCTTTCATTTGGGAAGGAATGATTGAGAAGATATGTTTTTTTCCTTGTGGAATTCTTCAAATAGGACACACGCCCACCAGATCACGTGATGTGTGGGTAACTGTGCCGGGAGGTATGTGTGCGAGGGCAGAATGAGATCACCATAAAGGACCTTTCAAGCTCAAAGTGAAGACACTGACCCTCCACGGCAGGGTGTCGGGGTGGGTAAGCCTCCAGCAGGGGAGCTTTGGCTTGGCCGGGGAGCAAGGAGCTGGGAGTCCCAGGTCTCAAGAAACTGAGACAAGCCATCACATCCTTAGACCCTCACCCCCAGTCCTGCAACCTAACTCTGTCCTGGAGATGCTAAAGCTACTTCTCAATAGGACAATCAGGAACCCCCGACTGATCATCCTTCCCTCTTAGGAACCAACAGGCAACCGTGGGGAATCCCAAGAGGTGACGAGGAGGAAAATGCCTCCCTGGACCTGTCTCAGAAGATGTGAGGCCACAGAACAAGTAGGGTCCTGGGCACTGGCTGACGTACCAAATGAATCTGCCCGAAGTCACCAGAGCTGTTTCCCAAAGGCTGGGGAGGGGGACCTCAGGAGAGGCCAGTGCTCTCCTGTGTGCTGACATGTATGTAAGAACGTGGGGCAGCTGCAAAGTCCTCGACCCAAAGTGGTGACCAAGCGGGTAAGAATCGCAGGCAAGAGTCAACATCACTGAGATGGTTAATGGATCAAACCCACCTTCACCTTGTTATCCTCTGATTCATCTTGAGCTCCTGAGCTTGGAAGCAATAAACTTTGATTTGTGGGTCAATTTGTCAACTTGATGGACTGAATGAGGTCTGCATGCTCATGGGATTCTGGAAGATGTGCCTTCTGGGCCTCAAGAGCCTCACCCGCCCCTCTGAGCCAACTGACTGATCCAGGGTCAAAGGGGGCTCCTCTTGGATAAAGTCTGGGGAGTTTCCTGGTGGGCCTTCTGGGGACTTTTTACAAAGATCATCAATGGGCTGAGAAAATATTTTATGGAAACAGGCAAAAGGGTGACTTCCAAGTACCAAAGGAAAAAATTCCTGACCCCTCCATGGACTCTATTTTTATGTTTTTTTATGACCCACTATTTGTATTACCAAACAGTGTAATACAAAACGATGTGCTTAGTTTTACATTAGTTGTTTCCAAGTTAGGGCTTCCCTGGTGGCTCAGGTAAAGAATCTGCCTGCAATGAGGGAGGCCTGGGTTCGATCCCCAGGTCAGGAAGATCCCCTGGAGAAGGGACTGGCTCCCCACTCCAGTATTCTTGGGGCTTCCCTGGTGGCTCAGATGGTAAAGAATCCTGCCTGCAATGTTGGAGACCTGGGTTTTTAAGTTATGCATTATTATCCCCAGAGCACTTAGCTATCCCCAAATGAAACCCTTGCTATCCCAGGTCAAACTGAGAGGAAGCAGCCTCAATGCTGGTGACATCAAACAGCCAAATGTGGCCAAATGACACCCCATGACTCTGCCACCCACCACCCACAGAGTCATGCAAATGCCACGAAGATGTCATCTGTGACACTTTTAGTCAAAAAATTCCCAAATCTAGCTAGAATTGCCCATTTCCTCCCTCCCACAGCTTCCTTCGGCTCAGCCTTCCTTCACGTCCCAAGTGAGCTCCCTGCCCTGGTGTTCCCGCCAGCAAGGCCCCCAGACAAAAGGGAGTGGGCCCCATGGTCCCCAGTCGCCAATTCTGGCTTCACCTCTACGGCTCCAGGTTGCAGGATGAGACCCAGACCAGTGCTAACTTGCTCTCCCTTTGAGGCTGCATGGTCATATCACGAAGCTTTCCACAAACCATGGCTGTCTTCCTCAACCTCCCCAAACCTTTCATTTGCAGGACCCCCCGCCCCCACCACTCAACCCTTAAGACCCTCAGGCTCAAGTGTCTCCTACTCAGGAAAGCCTCCGTGGGGCTCCCCTAGTGGATCAGCAGTAAAGACTCCACCTGCCAACGCAGAAGACACGGCTTCCATCCTGATCTGGTCAGATCTCACATGCCGCGGGGCAACCAAGTCCATGTGCCACAACTACTGAGCCCATGTTCTAACTCTGAGCCTGGGAGCCGCAACTATTGATCCGTGAGCTGCACCTACTGAAGCTCTCACACCTAGAGCCCATGCTCTGCAACAAGAGAAGCCACCGCAATGAGAAGCCCTCACTGCAATTAGAGTGTAGGCCCCGCTTGCTGCAACTGGAAAAAAAGCCTAAGCAGCAATGAAGAACCAGCACAGCCAAAACTAAAAAAAAAAAAAAGAAGAAGAAGAAAGCAAGCAAGCCTCTGTGTCCCACAGCCCTGCAGCACCCCCTCCCCTGCTCAGGTCTGAAGCAGAGCAGAGATTAGACCGCAGCATCATGAGCTTCTTTTACTAAAAGTTTTCCCAGATGGACTATGAATCCCCTGAGGGCAGGTACAGGCTTTCTTTCCCTTAGAAGATTCACAACCGACAGATGACAAATGGAAGGATGCAAACAGCATCATCTACTTGTAAGAGCATCCAGAACCCCACAGCAGATCCAGTTCACACCCTGAAGCGCTGTTTCTCAGAAACAGTTCACAGGCCATGAACACTGAAGCAACAAACAAAACAAAATCTGGTTGCTCACAACACCTTCTAAATCCCTACAGAGAAGAGGAAAAGAGAGGAGAGGCTGAGGAAGAATTAGAACCAGAACCAATCCATCAGACAGAAGCTGGTCCTCATCTGACTAGGAACGGCAGTCACACACACACACACACACACACACACTCGTATCCACACAGGCACACAAACACATGTACACACGTGCATCAGACTCAGCTGCCTTTCTAGTTCCACTGCCCAAGGCTTGACAAGAGAAAGACGGTGAAGAGGATGCAGGGCACCGGACATGGGTTTCAGGAGACTCTCCCACACTGGCTTCAGACATAAGACAGTCAAGACACACACACACACACACACACACACACACTCGTATCCACTCAGGCACACAAACACATGTACACACGTGCATCAGACTCAGCTGCCTTTCTAGTTCCACTGCCCAAGGCTTGACAAGAGAAAGACGGTGAAGAGGATGCAGGGCACCGGACATGGGTTTCAGGAGACTCTCCCACACTGGCTTCAGACATAAGACAGTCAAGACAAGAAGAGGGTAGGAAAGACTCCTCCTTCTTCCACGGGGGAGGGGGAAGAGTCCCCGCCCACTGGCCTGCTCAGCTCTAAGTAGTTGCCTGAATCCTTCGAAGTGGGTTGGGAGGGGCAGCTCTGGGTGAGGCCCCCAAGCCAGGACACGAAAGGAGCACCACCCACACCTCCAGCCCCATACCCCCCAAGCTGATGACCCTGTCCTCAGATATGGACCAGAGTAGCATGAAATGGTTGCAGCAGGGATGAGTGAGAGGGAAGAGGGCATGGGGAGGAGGTGGTATGAGATTTGGGAGGGAGAATAGCAGGCTGCTACACACGTGTGCGCACACACACACACACACACACACACACACACACGCATGCGCACGCACACCCACACAGGCACACACTCCCTCCCGAGCATCATCAGCCAGGACACAGGGAAGGCTCCAGAGACAGGGAAGGCCAGTGTTAGCAGGCATGAAGCCCAGGACAGAATCCTTCAAGAGCAGGAGAGGAGGAGGAGTTGGTGGAAGGAGAGTTGGAAAGACCATGGCAGGGAGCTCAGCCTAGCTCTGGGTGCGGGCAGGACTTCATGTGGTTCTTGGGGCTGGAGGTCCCCCGAGGCAAGTAGGTAGATGATGCTCACATCCTGCCTAAAAGGTGGGGTGTAAGAGGGGCCAGAAGAAGTTGACAAGAAAGAGCAGCAGCAGAGATGGGACAAAGAGAAAGAAGAAGCATGATGCAGACCAGAGAAGAGGCTGGAAGGGCCTGGGCCTCCTGGGGGGGCAGGGACACCCAGAATAGGGAGCCTCCAAGCAGGGCTGTTTCCTGCCAGGCAGCGCCCATGAGACCTGGAAGGAAAGTGAAGAAGGTCATGGGTGCCCATCCAGGCAGGGGATGGGGTTGCTGCTAGCTCACCTCATGCTTTTATGCTTTTTTTTTTTTTAAGGCACCTTTCCCCCAAGGCACTTCTATTAGAAAACTGTCATACTCATTCTGTTAGAAGACATTTGTAGTGCCATTTTGGGATTATTTTAGTAACAAATATTCAAATCTTTGATCTATGATGTACACATGGCACCCTTGTACAGTGTGCATCCTGCACCACTGTCCCTGGCAGACATGGGTGGGAAGGATCAGGCAGGACTCTAAGCCCAGGGCCTGGACACCAGGAGGGAGGTAAAAGAATTCTCCCTGCCCTGACTGCTGGGTAATTTGAGAGGGTGGTCTTGCTCAAGTAGATGGAGGGAGAGAGAGAAGTGACAGGGTCCTCAATATTTATGAGAACAAGCAGAGCCCCAAACTGCGCTGCTTGGGATAAGGGCTTTCAACTCAGTCCAGGGAAGGAGCTGAGACCACAGACTTCTTTCCTGTTTGTGGCAGCCATTATGCCCAGTGTGTGGGGACAGAGATGCCCAAGGCCATCCAGAGGCGGGCGTTCCCCAGCATCTTTAAGTGTCCTGGCCAAAGTTCAGAGAGCATCCTGCCCTCCTGCAGGAGGTCGGGGTTGTATGTGGGGGGGATATTTTTTAATCCCTCCTTTCATTCCAGGGCCGCAGTTCCAAGGGGCTGCTGCTGGAGTATCCGGAGAGGATGGAAGAGGTGGGCAGAAGGGCGCTGGGAGAGTGGGCGAGGCCGAGGGAGAGCTCACCTTCTGCGCACCGAGAAGGCGAGGCAGTGACATGAAACATTAGGTCACATGGCCTTCCCATCCGGCCTTAGCGTGCCTACACATCTGCACAGAGAAGGAGAAGAGGTTGAGAGGAGAAAGGAGACGGCGGCACAGCACAGAATCAACCCAAACAGCCGTGGTGGGCAGAGGGCACACAGGACAGACGGACAGAGCACGCACAGGACAGACGGACACTGAGGGAATGGACAGGAAGAGAAAATGAGATGCTGGTGGGAGAAAGGGGGCGGGGTTTGAGAGAGCCCAGGCTAAAAGAGCAAAGAGGGGAGGGGGGCCGGGGAAGGCTTGGGGTCAGGGGGATCACCCCATCATGCATTTCAAAACAGGTCACTCAAACTCCATGCAGAGGACAGGAAATTTGCCCGAGTGTGAGGCAGGTCCAAGGCCCAGAGCTGATAAGGCCAAGCCTGCTGCTTGTGGCCATAGCAACCTGCATGCTGTGCTTCTGGGATCCTGCCTGTGAGGGGGGTCTAGGGGAGGGGCATCAGCTGCCTGCTAACAAATATTCAAATCTTCAGTGTTAATGGTTTGAGTGCGGAACCTGCACCACTGGATTTGAACCTCAGACCTTCCTGAGCAAAACTGGGTCAGGACACTGGCAGGGTCCACAGCTGCCCACCTTTTCCCTCCCTCCCCCGCAAGAAGTTGTGTACTGACCCCGCATGGGGGGCCTGGGCAAGATATAGAAGGTGTTAAGGCCCAATGGCGGAGAAGGCAATGGCGCCCCACTCCAGTACCCTTGCCTAGAAAATCCCATGGGCGGAGGAGCCTGGTAGGCCGCAGTCCATGGGGTCGCTAAGAGTCAGACACGACTGAGCGACTTCACTTTCACTTTTCACTTTCATGCATTGGAGAAGGAAATGGCAACCCACTCCAGTGTTCTTGCCTGGAGAATCCCAGGGACGGGGGAGCCTGGTGGGCTGCTGTCTATGGGGTTGCACAGAGTCGGACACGACTGAAGCGACTTAGCAGCAGCAGCAGCAAGGCCCACGGGGGCTGTGAACAGATTGGCTAAACCACGGCCGTGAGTGGAAGGTAGGGGCTTCGTGTCACCGCTGCAGGACAAGTCAGTGAAGACAGGAGGTGCCTCTGTCAGATCTCCCCAAGGGCCACCCTGCTGCTCTGCTAAAGCCATAGCTTCAACAGAGGCGGGCAAGGAGGGCTACTGCCCACGGTGCCTTCCAGGCGCCTCCTGCTTAATTTCACCTACGCCGCCCCCTTCCCGCTGAAGTCTGCCATCTGGGTCCCAGAAGGTGAGCTCTTTCCCAGTGTTCTCTGAGACAGCAGATAGAGGAAGATGAGAGAAAGCAGAGAGGCTGGGGTGGGGTGGGGTGGGGGGGTGGGGGGGAGAGGAACTGAGCAAGAATGACACGCCACGTTGGCACTGGGGACTGACGCTACTGAAGGGACAGACCGTCCGGACCCTGTCGCCGAGGAGAGGCGGGGAGAGGAGGGGTGGGAGGGCATGGATTGGGGTCAGGCATGAGATGCGCTGGGCAAAGAAGGAGCAAGGGGCCCCAGGTACCTTCTGGGCTCCAGAGAAGGCGTGGTAGAAGCTGGACACGTAAGTCATGATGGCTTTCTCATCCGGGCGGGCGGTTCCGACGATGTCTGTCAAGAAAAAGCTGGAGTTAAAGCCAGCTGGTGAACACATGATACACTCCCTGATGTGATGGGAAAAGCAGCTCTCAGAACCATAAGTCTTCTTGCCAAGATGCTGAGCCTGGATCTAACCAGCATCTGGCATCAACTTCCACTTACAGGAACACAAGAGGTAGAGGAAGGAGTGAAATGGTACCTGAGAAAGGAAACAAGACAAACCAGAGTAACGGGTGCTCGGGACAGCTGGTCGTCAGTTTACAAGTTCAGTGCCAGGAACCAAAGGCATTGGGGGGAAGACGGAAATGCTACAGATTAGAAAAGATACAAGAACTAGAACAATGAAATGCCACATGCACACTCTGATCAAAACAAACCAACTAAAGAGAAATAATGGGGAGATTTGATTTTGAACCAAGTGGCAGATGTATCCAAGAATTACCGTCAATTTGCTTGGTGTGAAAATTACTTTATGACTGAAAAACAGAATGAAAATATTTCTATTGTTAAGGTATGTATTCTGAAGTATGTAGTAGTGCGATGTTATGACATCTGGGATTTGTTTTAAAATACTTCAACAAAGAAGACAAAAAGAGAAAAAAATGTGACAAAATCTCAATAATTGTTCTATCTGGATGGTGGGTATATGGAAGTTCCTTATATTATTCTCCCTGCTTTTGCACATTTGAAAATGGCCCCACAACTTGATAGACATTGTCACAAACTGTATCTTCCATCTCTTCTCCTAAGGGTCCACTCATCTTTCCAAAAGTCATTAGCACTCCCTTAAGTGTTCTTTCTCTCCCTCCCTTTCCCCTATGAAGTTAGATATGCATATAGACCTCAAACACAAATCATCTCTTTGAATTACCCATCACTGCAAGCTCCCATGGGTGTACATGATGCACATGTAAATAAACTTTTTTCTCTCCCCTAAACAACAAAGGACCACTGTGCTCTACCCTGACACCCACCACCCCAACTCCAAGACCAAGATGAGCATCACCCTCGGGATGCCCTTTTCAGCACCAGCCACCACCTCTGCCTCCAGATCTCAAGGTATCTGTCTGTGGAATCCCCAAGAGACTACTGATCCCCAGGCTCCCCAGAAGAGATCCCAGGAACCAGGCCTTCTCCCATCTGGCCTCAGAGTGCCAAGGCCCAGTTCCTGAGCTACTGGATGTAGCTGGGAGAAAAGCCGAAGCCTCAGAGGAAAGGGCCTCTCACCTTCCGCATCCAACATCTTGGGAATGTCCAGGTACTTCTCTGCCACATCAAAAGCTGTGTTTAGGTTTGTTAGCGGGTCGTCCTAGGGGAGAAGAAGAGGCGGGTGAGAAGCACGAGAAGTCTCTGGATACCCCACCCCTGCATGATCATCAAGACTGGGGGGAAAGGGGGTGCTGCTGTGGCCCCTCCCTGGTTCAGTCCTCGGGGGCCAGCTTTGGGTATAGAAGTCTGGCCTCATGGCCAGGACTTGCTAGCTAGGGGGCTTAAAATGCCATCTTTCTCTTCAAATTGCAGTTTCTTTGTCAAAGAAATAGAGTGAAGGATACTAGCCTGCAGCCCAAGAAAGAATTGCTAAGAAATGCAAGCTGAGAGAGGGGCACTGGCCTGGGAGCCATCAATCTTGACTTCTGGTTTCAGCTCTGCCATCAGCCAGCTGGAGTGGCAAATAACCTAACCTCAGTCCCCCGATCTGTTACTCAAAAGTTGGACTAGGAGCTCTCCAGCCCCTTTGGTGCTCACATTCCATGAAATCTGGGGACTCCTTCAAATAGCCACAGTCTTCTGACTACATTCTGGCTTCTGCTACCTTCTCAAGAAAACTTATCGGGGACTGGTGAGGAGGTGGAAAAATCACTGTTTGGTGGGATTGTAAAATGGTACAGCTGCTATGGAAAAACACTATGGAAGTTCCTCGAAAGTTAAACATGGAACTATATGACATAGCAATTCCACTTCTGGGTCTATATCTCAAAGAACTGAAAGCAGGAACTCAAATAATTGTATATCATGTTCATAACTGCATTATACACAATAGCCAAAAGGTGGAAATAACACAAACGTTCATGGACAGATAAATAGACATGGGATACTATTCTGTGATAAAAAGAGAAGAGATCCTGATATGTGCTACAACATAGATGAACCTTAAAAACATTAAGCAGGAGTGGAGAGTGATGGTGTGATGGCTTCAGAATTTCAATTATGCAAGATGAAGAGTTTTGGAGATGGATGGTGGTGGTGTGAATATACTTAATATCACTGAACTGTACACTTAAAAATGCTTCAAGTGGTACTTTCTAAAAAAATGTGGAGTATAATTGCTTTACAATGCTGTATTAGCTTCTGCTGTATGGCAAAGTGGATCAGCTATATGTATACAAACATCCCCTCCCTCCCACCCCTCTAAAAGTGGTACTTTTGATATTATGTATATTGTACCAAATTAAATATATATATATATAATGTGGAAAAAAACCCACAACTTAGCAGAGTTCCTGGCTGGACCTCCCACTCTCTTCTGGGTTCCTGAGACTAACCTAAAGCAAACTGGCTTTGTCAGCCTGCAACTCAGCTTCTGCATCTGCCAAGGTGAGAATCAAAGGGGACGAAAAGCTACATCCATTCATTTGGGACACTTTCAGGAAGAAACTGCTCAAAATAGAGAAGGTGGAGTCCTTCTGGGAAAGTTTCTGACAGTTTCCAGAATGATGAAAACCCCTGCCAAGAGGCAGCGGTCATATCCGTCCAAGGCCTTAGGCCATCCTCAAGCCCCGGGTGCACACCCCCCTGCCCTGCCGGATTCCCAGGGATCATCAGGCCCCCACGCCCACCGAGAGCCGGTGCGGGAAGGAAGAGCTCCCTGGTCAGAGCCCTTGACTCCCCCCTGTTCCCAAGCACCAGAGCCTCTGGCAACCTCTGTGCTTTCTGGAAGGAGTCCACAGTTCAGTGGGAACAGGTCTGTGCTAGGATTCTAGTATTACTATTGCTACTGAATTGAAGAAAAGAGACAGACGCAGAGAAACACAGAGAAATGAGCCAGGAGAAATGAAAAGACAGAGAGGACAGAGAGTGGGGAGAGAGCTGGCCGGGGATGAGACAAAGGCCCCTGGACTCCCCCTCCCCGAATGGCTGAGGCTCCTGGGGTCAGGGCGGGGGTGTGTGGGGTGAGACTGAAGAGCCACAGTCAGCATAGGCCCCGCTTTACACAGGGCTGGGCAACAGCTGTGCATTAACTGGGTGCTGCCTCCCCAGCCCCCCACGCAGGGACCCAGGCACACGCACTCCTGTCGCCACAGTGCATCAGCTGACCGCCGGGAGGACTATGATGATGATGCCTTTAAAAAAGTCTCCATCTCGGATGAAACTGGAGCCCATTATACAGAGCGAAGTAAGCCAGAAAGATAAAGACCATTACAGTATACTAACACATATATATGGAATATAGAAAGATAGTAACGATAACCCTATATGCAAAACAGAAAAAGAGACTCAGATGTATAGAACAGACTTATGGACTCTGGGAGAAGGAGAGGGTGGGATGTTTCAAGAGAACAGCATTGAAACATGTATATTATCTAGGGTGAAACAGATCACCAGCCCAGGTTGGGTGCATGAGACAAGTGCTCGGGCCTGGTGCACTGGGAAGACCCAGAGGGATCGGGTGGAGAGGGAGGTGGGAGGGGGGACCGGGATGGGGAATACATGTAAATCCATGGCTAATTCATTTCAATGTATGACAAAAACTATTGTAATGATGTAAAGTAATTAGCCTCCAACTAATAAAAATAAATGGAAAAAAAATAAATAAATAAATACTACCATGAAAAGAAAAAAAAAAAAGTCTCCATCTCCAGGATTCCCCCACCGTGGACCCTGTTTGGTTTGGCCGCACAGTTTTCAGCTGGGGTGGTGAGGGGCAGTGGGAGGGGTCTCGAATTGCTTTTTTTTCTTTGCAAAGTGGCTGAATTAGAGTGGGATCGCCCATCCCCTGAGAGGTAAGCCGGCCCCCGTCCACATACACCAGGACACAGCTACCACAGGGCCAGTCAGCAGGCTCCCCTCCTTTGGCAGGTGGTGGGCCCCTCCAGGCAGGCCCAGCCTCAAGCTTCAGGCCCAGCTTAGGGTTTCTGGAAGGGGTGGGAAACTCCACCTGACTCCTTTCCTCCCTCACAAATCCTTTTCAGCAGCCCCCAACACATACACCCCCCAAACAGAGGGTCTGATGCCACAGAGCAGCTCCTCTACCTGCAACATCAAGCCTGCCGTGGCCACGGGGGGCACAGGGAAGGCGGGGGACTTGGCTGAACACCAAACCCTCCAAGTATCGAGGTCAAGGAGACAAATACCAGAACAATCATTCCTAGAAGCCATTTTTGCCAGGAGATCCAAGCACCGACAGGGGACATTCCAACCCGAGCTCCAGACCATCTCCTGGGGTGGGGTAGGGTGGGTACCACCGTGGTCTCTCCCAGGATGCCTGCTCCATGAGGCCTCTCGTGCCAGGATGGGCTGAGAAGGAGGGTGGTGAGTCCAGAGTGTCCCGGACGGCCCTCTCCAAGGTCAGGCCAGTGTCCTTTAACCAGCCTGGATGCTAAGAACCACCGCGAGGCTAGACACACAGTTCCCACCTCTCTGCTCCTCAACACAGGCGCTCAAGAAAATCCCCCAGCAGCTTCACGCCAAAAGCACAAATGAAATCAAGAGGCAACAAAATCCCCTCCAACTTTCAGGCAGGAGGGAAAGCAGATCCCTGGCGGGGACCTGCCCAGGACTGTGCAGCAAGTCTCCGACAAGGCTGGGATACACGTCGCCAAGGACATGCAGTATCTAAAGTTAAAAAAGTAACACATGCGCCTTGGGAAACCCAGAAAGTCAGAACGGGGGCCACTTAGGATCTCAGAACAGGGAAATGCCACTTAGTATCTCAGCATCCTAACAGAACTTCTGTGGTGCTTTTGATACTTTTCCTGGCAGGTTGGGCATTTCCGCAAGCACATATAAACTCAAGTGGCCCTGATGGAAGGTGTTTTCCTCTTGTTTCCAGAGGGGCCGTCTCCTCGGCTGGTCTAAGAAGTCTGCCACGCTCTCACGCTGGGCTGTGGGCTCTCAGGGCAGGGGGCCCAGTCCCGCCCTTCCCCCACCCACCCCAGGGGGATCAGCTGAATGGGAGCTGGCGGGGGAGGGGTGGGAGGGTCAGGCAAGCACACCAACCTTCCGCAGCTTCCCGTAGTCGATCAGCTCTGGCCGGTGTCGGTGGATCAAGGCACAGAAGCCAAGGCCGTCCTTCCAGCTGCCCAGGGGAGAGGTGGTGGGGGGTGGCCAAAGGGTGAGTGGGGCCAAGCACTAAGGGCAAAGTGCCAGGCAGGGGTCTCCTTTTTTCCAAAGATGAACCCACAACTCCTCGGAGCAAGAGTTGGGAGAACACAGCAGGGGGAGGAACCTGCTTCCTGCCACAATCCCAGGCATCGCGTTAAGGCTCCATGGGGCTCAGCAAGTTGTCACGTCCCACCCAAGCCCCCCACCGAGGTCTGGGGCCCCCGTCTGCTCTGTTTCAGAGCCCCAGGCTGGAACTCCCTGGACAGTCTCCTAAGGGGGCTCCAAGAGCATCAACCCAGGATGTATCAGGCAGTAGCCAGGACGGAGCGGGCCTCGAAGGGTGACGCTCTCTTTCCAGAAAAGCGACTCCTTCCCCAAGGCTCTGTGTTCTGATCCAGAGCAGAGACTGACCCAGCCCAGGGGGCCCCAGGGGCCTTGGGGGAAGCAGCTCAGGTTCTGCAAGAGCCCCTCAGCCCCCAGCCACACACCTTATGTGGAAGTTCTGGATGTTGACGTTCTTGTAAGGGGCTGTCTTTCTCTGACACCACAAGAGAAGCCCTTCCTTCGCCGAAGTCTCTGTGGGGAAGGGGATGACAGGCAGGGGTCACAGGCTGGCTTGGTGAAAGGAGGGTGTGGGCTCCTGAGGCCCCCCTGTGACCACAGGGTCCATGCTCTTTCACATGGGGGTCCACACAGAGACTCCTAGATTTCAACCCTGCTGCCACGAGGCCATCAAATCTATTTCCTGGACAAAGTTTGAGACGTTATTTGAGACACAGAGAAGTAAGCCAGGGATCATTTCAGAACTGGCCACCTGATACATTAAAATAATGAGAAAATGGCCTTTCAAACTTTCAGACTCTCTCCCCCTCACTCCCTTTTATGCAGAAATGGCAACAACCCAAAACTAAGTCGGCAACCTCTGTCGGGCAGCCACTTTGGGGAGGAAGGGTTGACTGGTCTGCGAAATCTGAAATCCAGGACTCTTCAGACAGAGAGGGCCCGTGTGCCCTGTGGACTGCACAGTCACGTAAGAAGAAAGCATTAGGACTCCTAGTCACATTTACTGTTCATCTAAAAAGAAAAAACATTCATTTCAATGTATGACAAAAACTACTGTAATGATGTAAAGTAATTAGCCTCCAACTAATAAAAATAAATGGAAAAAATAAATAAATAAAAATAAAAAGAAAAAACAAGGTCTCCTTGTTAGGTGGGTACCCCCTAACCCTAACCCTAATGCATGGATCGACACTGCTGCTGCGTGTAAAGCGGACAGGTGTCAGTAAGGCAGGCGGGTATCTAAGGGGGCCCCAGAAGCTTCCGGCCCAGGAGGGCTGCAAACCACACTGCCCCCATGTGTTCACATCTGTGAACAGCGGCTCACGGTACTCAGGGAAGTGGGTTTCAGTTCACAAAATGGACTTTAAAATGACGCTAAACACCTTCTGCAAAGATAATATAGTACAAGAAAACGATTTAAAAAAAAAATCTTCAAAGCTAATGCTTCCGCTTTTAGTTCAAGTTCTTTGTCAGTTACAAGCTGAAAACAACAATTTACTCAGAGCTGACAAGAAGTCTACCCAAAAGAATAAACTCATCAAGAAAGCTATTTGAAAACCAGATTTGTATCTATTATCACTAACAAGGACCCTAAGCAACTACTGTGGGTATCTTTTTAGTCACTTCAGCCCTAAACCAAAGTTTGGTATCTATAAACCAAAGTTTGGTATCTATAAACCAGACTTAAGACCTTCACATTGCTCTCTCACTAAGTGTCAAACCAAGATTCCCATAATGAAGCAATTTAATCCACACTGCTCTCATTAAAAACTAATTTCTAGGCCATTAAAATGAATTTTAAAAATACCTCCATCTCATTTTTAAAAATTTGGTTTGATGTGTTTGATATAAAAATAGTGGGGGGGGGGGGTTTCAGTCGCTAAGTTATGTTTGACTCTTGCGACCCCATGAACTGTACCCTGCCAGGCTCCGCTGTACTTGGGAATTTACCCAGGCAAGAATACCGGATTGGGTTGCTATTTCCTTCTCCAGGATATAGAAACACAGGAATATAATTTACTGAAAAATAAATACATACCTATCAGACATAAAGGTGAAAAACTGCGGGAGTGTAAAACCGCAAGTTTAGACAGAGCACGGCCCCAGACCATGGCGGCCCCTTGCAGACCTGCAAGGTGGCCGCCAGAGGGTGCTATGGGAGCAAAGTGAAGGCCCTGTCTCATGGCTCTCCTGACTGCTATTCCCTACTCTTTGGGATTTAACAACCCAAGAGCCAGGTGGGGTGGTTCCAATACACCTCCCCACAGCCATCTTGGGCTTTCTCAAAGTGAGGAGGCCAACGCAACTATAGAGGCCAGCACTCCAGTTTTTACTTGTCTGTAGACTAGAGGAGAGCAAGGATGCCACCGATGGATAAGCGGCCCAGGATGCAGCTTGTGATGAAGGACCTCTTGCCTCATGGATCAGGAAGATGTGATGGTGAAGGCCTGGGAGAGGTGGAAGCCTGGGGACAGCATGGAGCAGAGCAGAAGACCTACCTTCCACGGAGATGTCCTGGATGGCAAAGCGGAGGATGATGGTCCAGATCATGCCCAGGGTCATTTTCACATTCCCATCCACGATTTCTACAGAAACAGCCGCAGGACACGTTAGGATGGGTCTCAGCAGGGACAAAGGTCACATTTCCTGAGTGCTCATGTCACTCTGGGCACCACTTAGGAGGTCAAAGGCCACACACTCCACTTTTAGAGGGAAGTCAAAAAATCAGCACAATTACACGTCGAAGTCTATTTGGGGGTGTCTTGGGGAACCCGAAGAGTGTGGTCAGTTCAACTGGGTACAACAGGAAAGGCAACAGAGAAGGGGGCATCTTAAACCTGGGCAGTGTCCCCAAGCCTAACAGAGAAGAGGAAAAGGACTTCTATGCCATCGCAAATGTCCTGGCGCCTCCATGAGTGGAGGACATCTGGGAAAGCACAGATCTCAGAACAGCCATCCACCTACCTGGGAAGTCAGTGCAGGCAACAGAAATTAACCAACCTGACAAAGATTTATAAACTGCTACTAGAAGGATCCGCTAACTCACAAATCAAGTTCATGATGCCATAACTTGGGTATTTTTTCATAAAAAAACAAACAGCAGCTTCAAGATCAAAATTAAGAGATACCCCACTAAATTTAGTCTAAGCAGCACCTTCTAGGTTTTTTTTAAAATGCTATAAATTCTATGAAGTTTTTTTTTTTTCTCCTGTCCCAGGTTTAGAGGCAGGACAAACAAAGATAAAAAATTCCTGTCTTTAAGGAGCCTAAAAGATGTAGTCATTTATAGGCTTGGAGACTGTGAAGGTAACAAACACAGATCCCTTACCTTTCCTGTTCCCAGGTCAGGAGACGGTAACCTGGCCCCGTGATGAGCTACTCTCAGTTAAGACTCAGGCATTGAAAGAATATCTCATTTTTCCCTTCCGACAACAGTAGATTTGGGGGACACCCAACAAGACCATGAGAAGAGGCAACTTCCAAGGACCCCTGATCCCCTGAACCAATGTCCACTTGGGTTTGCTTCCCACAAACCTTTTAAACAAGAGTGGATTCCTGTAAGGAAATTAACTCTAATACCTCATCCCCTTCCACAAAAGAAAGGGCAAAACTGCATGCTGCTCTATGACCGACAAGGTACAGGCACTGAGCAGTTACGCCTGGCCCACAGCTGTTTCGGGGGGGCAGCGTGGGGGCAAACTTGCTGAGCCTGCACCAGGGTTCTCAGCAAAGGAAGAACAGTGTCCACTTTGGGCATGGGACAGGATGTGATTCTTCCTCCTAAGAGAGGGGCTGAAATGCCCCTCCCAGAATTCTAGGCATCAGCAGAGCAATGACCCAAGTTTGAGAAACTCGGTTAGAGACAGGGAGCTGCAGCAGCATGCAACCATCCTCCTCAACAACTAAGACAGCTGTCACACACTCTGCAGAGCATGCTGAGGGGGAAGTGGAGTCAGTCAGTCAAGAATTAGTTCCTAAAAGTTTAATATTTTTTATTTTATTTTTTGGCCACATCTCATGGAATGTAGGATCTTAGTTCCCTGAACAGGGCTCCCTGCAGTGAAAGCGTGGGGTCTTAACCACGTGACCACTGGGGAAGCCCCTCCTAAAGGTTTGCTATGTTTAAAATGCCCTTTCACTTGTGACTTCCAAAAGTTTTGCATCTGTAACATTCAAAGTGCTTACATAAATTGTGATAAGATAAAAAAGTCTAAATTCATAATACAAGAGTCGGCAAAAAACATGAATAGACACTTCACAAAACACAAAATACAAACAACCAACTTATAAGAATGTCAAATTCACTTGTAATCAGAGATATATCATTTTCCCAGCTATTAAATGAACAAAGCAAATACACATAACGATGGTGATGATGGTATCGATATAACGATAGATAGCCATGTGGCTATCTATCACCCTGTGGCTAGAAGTATAAATTCGTTTTAAAGAAACACCTCTTGGGGAAATAATTTGTCAACAGGGAGCAAGGCATATTGAAGTTGCTCAACTTTTTGAGAGTAAAATTCTCTCTCTAGCCCCAGTCAGCCAGAGGTGTGAAACGTAGAGTAAGGCTGGTGTGTAAAGGCACTTGCTGCCAGATTACTTATCATGACCCCACCCTGGAAACTCTGTGAAGGTACAAAATACAAGGCGTGACCAAGTAAACCCCAGACCCTGTCACTCCCTCTGCTCAAAACGTCCAAGGCTTCCACCCCACTCAGCGTCAAAGGCAGTGGCTGGTGGGGCCTCTGGGACCCCTGCAGTCACACGGCCTCCCTGTTGCTCCCCTCTCCCGGGATATCCCTCACCTCCCTCCTGTCTCCTCCCTCCTTCATCTTCTCACCAAGCCCTCCCTGGATCTCCCTCTTTACTCCAACTGATACGTGTATTTTCTTTCTCCCTCTTCTAGAACATAAGCTCCCTGAGGACAAAGATGTACTCTGTTTTACAGCACTGCTTAGAGCCCAGCACTGTGCCTGGCACAGAGAAAGCCCTCCATCAACATCTGCTAAATGAACGAATGACTAGAGGACACTAACCACGGGTGTGTGAATGGGCAGAGAACACAACAGCATTCAGGCCTCTCTAGGACTGGGTGCAGATCTGGAACACAGCACACTTGTGCTCAACAATCAGGTAATTAGCACAGCCATTCAAAATCATAATTATAATTTTTTGATGATTTGGAAAAAAATCTTTGTAATTACAGAAGAAGACAAAAATCAGGTATTAAATTTTATGGACACCATCTCAAATCAAGGAGAAATTTTTTTTTAACATCAAGTAAAAACTCCAGATGGTAAAGCCTTTCTAGGAGTAGAGGCTGCAATGCCAGTCCCTCTTGACCTGGGGGATGGAGGGGTGTGTGTGTGTACCCACCCACCCCCATTTGTTGTTCAGTCACTCAGTCGTGTCTGACTCTTTGTGACCCCATGGACTACAGCTCGCCAGGCTTCCCTGTCCTTCACCATCTCCTGGAGCTTGCTCAAACTCATGTCCATTGAGTCAGTGATGCCATCCAACCATCTCGTTCTCTGTCATCCCCCTTCTCCTCCTGCCTTTGGCCTTTGCCAGCATAAAGGCTAAATAATCTAGCTTCCTGCTGGCCTTGAGTTCAGGGTCCTCCCAATACCAAGGAAGACAAGACAGCTTCTTCTCTGGGTCTTGCCAACTTACTTCTCTTCTCTTCCAAAAATACCCAACCCCTGGGGAGTTTTCTTACTGAATTCTCAACTCCTACCAAGGAAGCAGTTTCATGCCAGAAAACAGAGGAGCCGAGTACAGGCAAAGAGAGTGGTTTGTGTTCAGTTAAGAGCCCATGCACCACCCCATCCCCCGTGTCCACCTGAGCCCCCCTAACCCTCGAAAACCCTCCCCAGAATGGATCCTTTCATTAGGCATCTCTATGTTTGGGGTAAGGTTGTCCATCTCACAGGCATCTTTATGGCCTGACACGCTGAGTCCAAAAGGAGGGTGCCACGGCTGCAACCGGGCCCCTGGGGGAAAAGTCATGATGACAGATTAACAAATGTCTGTTGTGGGAGTGGGAAGATGCCATTCCTAGACCACAGCTACCTATGAAGCTGTTCATATCCTGCTTTTACTCAGAACCTGCCTCTCTCTTGGCCCCACTCCAGATAGGCAGTAGTCAGACAGCAGAATCAATGATGCTGAAGAAACTCCATGTGGAGGAAAACTAGACCCTCCACCCCGGGGGGGTCACCACTGCCCAGACCAATGGCCACCATCCAACCTAAGGACAGATGCTAAATCATCAAGCCCACTTCCAGGCTCTGGCACCCAAAGCTATCAGGCTTTCCCCGCCTCTAGATTTTAAAATGAAAATTCCTTTTCAGGTGCTCTCATCTGGTTAAACCCCAACCACTCACCCAGGTCAAGTCCCCATCCCATGAAGTCTAGACAGTCTAGAATCAAGTATCACACAAGAAATGGATCTATTCTAACCTCTCCTGTGGCATGGATGCTCCTTGCCTCCGGCCTCCATCTGAACATCTTCGGGGTCAGGGAACCGATGCCTTTCCCAGAACACCCACTCCATCCCCTAAGGTTCTGTATGTTATTCACAGTCAGCCTGCCCACAGGCTCTCCCTTCCAGGCCTGGTTCTTCCCTCCACGATCAGCCAGAGTCAAGACCTTGCCCCACATGATCATCCTTCAAAGGTCTGGGGTCTTCCACTGGGGCCCAAATCTGGTCCCCAAGGCTCCCCTGCCAGGGTAAATGGCAATGTCTCCTCCCACCCCAGCCCCAGGAGAGCTCCTTCTGGGTGATCCATTCCACTGTCTTTGATAGTCTACAGCAGCAAACTTCATTTCATTAAAATAAACAAAACCCTTTCTGGGCCTCATCCGGTTTCCTGGCTCAGCAGCGTGGCCGTCCTAGCATGATCTTGGTGCTCGACCTCTTTTTAATCGCAGTATAGTTGATTTACAATGTGTTAATCTCAGGGGTACAGCAAAGCGATTCAGTTATACACAAGGACATTCATTCTTTTCCAGATTCTTTTCCCATATAGGTTATTATTAATGCATTGGCTTAAAATGGGAGAGAAGATTTCTAAGAGGGAAGTCTTGGCTTAAAGGTAGCAGGAAGGCTTGGAATGTCTCATCTTAAAGGCAGCTTTAGAAATCTTTGGAGAAGCAAGGTCTGTGTCAAGGGAACCGGAAAACTCCAGCCAGCTAGGTTAAGTGACCTCCTGGCAGAACAGAGGTGATGGTTAGAGTCTATGCCCCTGTCTGGCTGTGCTCATTACCCCTCTGTTGAGACCACACAGCCAGTGTGACCCGCCACTTCACAGCTGAGGAAAACCAGACATGAAGGTTCTGTCCTGGACCCCTGCAGAGGAAGCAGCAGTGCCCTGGTGATTGGAGAGCTTCAGACCTCAGCTCTGGAGTCCAAACCCCCGGGGTTTAATCTGCATTCTGCCAAATGGAAGCCATCTGGCCCAGAGCCTGTGGTCAACATACTACACACTTCCATTCGAGCAACTCCTCTGAGCCTTCGTTTCCTTGACTGTACAATATGGGTGGTGATACTACAAGCCTGTTAAAGCATTCTGTCCTGTCTGGCCAGCCACAGATCTGGACCTCAGCAAGTGCTATGCTTGCCCATCTTCTCCTTTCTTCCTCCCCTTTAGTATTCAGTGACACACACACACACACGCTTCCCTGGTGGTTCAGATGGTAAAGAATCTGCCTGCAATGCAGCAACTAATACTACTACTATATATACATATACGTGTGTGTGTGTGCTAAGTCGCTTCAGTTGTGTCTGACTCTTTGCAACCCCAGGGACTGTAGCTCGCTGGGCTCCTCTGTCCATAGGATTCTCCAGGCAAGAATACTGGAGTGGGAAGCCATTCCCTTCTCCAGGGGATCTTCCAGACCCAGGGATCGAGCCCAGTCTCTTATGTCTCCCGCATTGGTAGGCAGGTTCTTTACCTCTAGTACCACCTGGGACTCTCTCTCTCTCTCCCCCGATATACATATATATAGATTACGGTAGTTGCTACATTCTCCTTTCTAAAAATCTGGATTTCTGGCTTCTTTTGAAAAATCAGAACATCTGACAACACTGGATATGTTATTCCCACTCAGCAACAATTGGTTAGATCCACACGGCAGCTGCCCCGCTTAGAGGGACATGTTTTTCCCACTTCTCCACACTCCCCACTCATCCCAACTGTCACATACCTCGCACATCTGGCCCACCTCACATATCCCCTACTTCCCTGCCCCAGGGGACATCTGAGCTTGTAGCAGACCACCAGAGTGGTAATTTCTTTGGCTTCCCATCCCTGCTTGGCTGAAACTTGTTCTGCCAAGCCTTGACTCCTCCCTAAGAGAACAAACAATTCTTTTCTTTATCTGTACCCTGCTGTACACAAGCCCTTCAAACATTTACTGAGCATTGACTGTATGCATCATGCCGCTGGGAGCTGGGGCCACAAGGACGGAGGAGACATGATGTGATCCCTGCCTCATAGCTCAGGGGATGGGACACATAAGGCAACCACCCACAATGACCTCAAGTACGAGCCTGGGTCCCTGATAAGGCAAGGGTCAGCAAGCTTTTCCTGTAAAGGGCCTGATAGGAAATATTTTCAGCTTTGCAGGGATATGGTCTCTGGCACAACTATTCAATTCTGCCTGCAGCAGGAAAGCAGCCAATAATATGCAAACAAAGGGGTGTGGCCGTGTTCCAATATTTATGAAAGCCCGGGTCAGCCAGGTTTGACCCCACGGACCGTAGTTTGCCAGCCCCTGTGCTCAAGTTTCTCAGTTTGATTTTGCTACATCAAGAACCTCAATTTTCAGAAAAAAAGAAGGACTTTCAGATATCATCAACCAGAGAAAAAGATCAGCTGCTATGGATTTACTGGAACAACACCCTGCACCCTCTGTAAGGAAAGGCCACCCTCTGGGGCATTTCTCTGGTGTCACTCTGACCTGGATTTGAGTTCCAGCTTTACCACTTGCTGAAGATGGGACTTTGGACAAGTTAATTTTCATTAGGCACATGTTTTCTTTTTGTATGGGGATAACAATTAGAGCCATCTCATAGGGCTATGGCGAGGATGAAATTGAGATCACTTGTACAAAGGGCTTTAGTAGAGTGCCTGCTGCAGAACAAGTGATCAGTAATCACAATCAAGGTTATGTCTACAATGAATAAATGAATGAATGAATGGAGACTGTGTACTGTTCACCTTTTAATCTCTGGCACCACAGAGGTGCCCAATCCATTGATGAATCCATGGGACGCAGTCCTCATGGAGCCTGGTTATGGTATTCTAATCACCTTGACCCGCTCCAAGTCCTTCAGAAACGCACACAAGAAACTGTGCCACCTCCTTCTAACCATTAAGAAGATGCTAATAATGGTTTAAACTGAACTTTAAACAATTTTTAAAGATTGAAGTATAGCTGATTTACAATCTGGTGTTAGTTTCAGGTGTATAAACAATTTTTTTTTCTTAAGTAAAAGGGAAAAAATCAAAAAGCTGCTCTGCAGTGAAATGTTATTAAGAATACTCCTGGGACTTCCCTGACAGTCCAGCAGTTAAGACTCTATGCTTCCAATGCAGGGCACACGAGTTCAATCCCTGGTCCGGGAACTACGATCCCTCATGCCTTGCAGTGTAGCCAAAAAAAAAAAGTTCCTAAAGCCTTCTGGACAGCCATCCTGCAGGGGCTCCCTCTACACACCAGTGTCCACACACTCTCCCCAGACCACAGACCACAGAACTCTGTGCTTGGGACAGGGGAGCACAGCCAGGCCTGCAGAAGGGGGAGGTGGCAGTCCACACACACAGATCCCACAGCGCTGGGATTCAGTGGTTGGGGGGGTGGGGTGGGAGTAGGGGTCACAGTCACCAAGGTGCAGAGACTAAATAGAAAGTGCTGTCTTTACATGAAGGATCCACTGGCCAGTCAGATGCTGGAAGCCCTACTTCCAAATGCCCCCATGGATGTGTGGGTCTAGGAGTCAGGCTAGAAAAGGCCAAGAGAACCAAGAGGTGGGGGCAGACAATCTGGCTGGATGCAGAGGGGTGGGATGGGGGTAGGGGGCAGCCAGAGGGCAGGCCTTACTCACCTTCAGCTCCTATGGACACCAGCTTGACCCCCTTGCTGGCTATGAAGTCCAGGGCCTTGTTGACATTGGAGATCTTGTGCACCCTCATTTTGCCTCTCTCCGGCTTGGCCAAACGTTCACCTGAACAGACGGAGAGACAGCAATGCAAAGTGAAACACTGTTCTCCTACTTCTCAGCTCTAAACTGCTTGCAGCCACTCAACAAGTCTGTATTAAGCCCTGAGTATATGTCAAGGGACTTGGCGGTGTGCTAGAAATATAGGGGTGAACAAAACAGCTTGCTGCCTTCATGGACTTATGGTCCAGGAGGAGAGACAGACCTTCAACATACATCAACATACATAAATGAACAAAAAGCCAAAAAGGAGAAATGCTTAAAACAAAGGCTTTAAAAGAGATTGCAGAGGTGGAAGGCAGGTAGGAGGGTGAGAGAGTTGTGATGTGGTCAGGGGAGGCCTCTGAGTGGGAGGCCGGCAGACCCAGGCTGCAGGGAACGGCGATCAAGGCAGAAGGAACAGCATTGGCAAAGGCCCTGAACTCCCAGCCTAGACTGTTTCAATCCAGGAGAGTGTGTGGGTCACGCTAGGGTATTTTGGGAAAGTTCCCTGTGTGTTGCCCACAGGGCCCCTCGCTCACTTGAGAACCACAGCTCTTGTCTGTTTACTGCTGCCCAGGGGCACCCTCGGCTCAGCTCCAAGTCAGCCCTCCACCCTCACTCAGCGGCCATTTCCCCGACCCCCACTTCCCACAGTGGGGGCTCCTGCTGTTCTGTCTATGATCAGAAGCTTCGGGGAAGCAGGGGTTGATGAGCTGGTTCTCTAAATACCCTCTCAGAGCACAGGAAGGAAGCGTCCAGGGATCCCCTGAAGCCATCTGAAAAATATGTATGTGCGACGTGTGCCCAGACCTGGGGAAGGGGAGCACAGCTTTCAGTCTCCCAAGAGGTCTGAGAACCACCATCCTAGAACTCAGGACCTTCCACCTACCACAGTCTTCAGCCCAGCCCAGCGGCACGCTCTCCACCCCACTACTGAGCACATCAACAGCCTGGCTGAGAGATCCCAAGGGGCAGGGTGGCCCTGATGCTGGGCCATGCTCATCCTATCAAGAGCAGCACTTCTCCAGGGGGGCCCCCTGCCCAGGGCCCCCCACCCAACTTCCACAGAACAGACTTCCTGCTACAGATTTCACTTGGCCTGGCAGCATCCAGGGAAGCCCAGCTGGGTTTTTATTATTAAATCAAGACTTCCCAAGTGCGGCTTTCCCAAGGCTGTGACCACAGCCCACCCTCTCTGGGAAGGTACCCTACTGCCCCCCTGGGCAGATGAGATGCCCCAGGGCTCCCTTCCAATAGGAGGGATGGAGGCAGCACCTTGTGCCCCCTCCCCCCGCAAGGGCTGCTCCCACTAGAGCCCCAGCCTTTAGGTCCTGCTAAGCCTGAGCTCGCCAGCCTGACTGTCAGCTACATTCACTGGCTGGAACAGGGCTCCTCCAAGACAAGGGAGGTAGCAAAGTCCTGGGACTTCGGTCCACACAAAATCACCTGGAGAACCCGCTGACTATAGGTGTCTGGCCCCCTTCCCCTTCCTCCTGAGTTTCTGACTTTGGAAGTCTGGGATGAGGTCTGGGAACCCACATGTGGCTGAGTAGTCCTGCTGATTCCGCTGGGTAGTCCAGGGACCACACTCAGAGGATCTCTGCAGGCGGCAGCCCCCTTCCTTTTGCTGTCATCCTAACCATCTCCAGAGACACTCAGGGAGGAAAAGGCATCATCTCAATGGCTCAATCTCTCCCCACCCCAGGAAACAGAAGAGCCACCTCACAGACGTGCACAGGCCTGTTCAGTGCAAGCACCTGGTAGGTATTTGGAAAAGCCCAGCTGGGCATTCGGTCACTCCAGTATTTGCTGAGCATCACCTAGCTGCCAAGTATATAGGTCTGAGCACCTGGGACACAGACAAGTCTGTCCCTGCCCTCCAGGGCCAGGTGTAAAGTGGGGAGAAAACACAGGAGCCAAAAATGATCCTGCTGTGTGGCAAATGACATGCTAGAGGAATCAACGGTGTGTTCCAGGAGCCCAGAGGAGGGCAGGCACTCAAAGCAGGAACAGAAGGGGTGGTGGTCAGGGAAGCCTTCCTGGAGGAGATGCCTAAACTGAGTTTTAAAAAATGAAAAAGAACAATGCCAGATTTGCTTAAACTAAGAAATGTTGGAGGAAGAGGTAAGAAGGACACTCTAAAAGGCATTTAACCTAGAGGGGTGGGATGGGGAGGGAGATGGGAGGAAGGTTCAAGAGGGAGGGGGCATATGTATACATATGGCTGATTCATGTTGATGCTTGGCAAAAACCAATACAATTCTGTAAAGCAATTATCCTTCAATTAAAAAGATAAATTTAAAATTTAAAAAAATAAATAAAAGGCAGTTAGAGGAAAACATATGGCCATTCCTGAAAAAATTCAACACAGAATTACCCTAGGATCCAACAATTACACTTCTGGGTACATACCCAAGAGAACTGAAAGCACAGACTTACACAGAATCTGTATAGCCATGTTCTTTGCGGTATTACTCACAATAGAGAAACTGTGGAAACGACTCAAGTGTGAATGACAGATGACTGAATAAACAAAATGTGGAACATATGTACACAATGGAATATTGTCTGGTCTTTAAAAGGAAGGAGATTCGGATACATGCTACTTCATGGAGGAACCATGAGCACCTTATGCTAAATGAAATAAGTCAGTCACAAAAGGACAAATACTACAGGATTACACTCATATGAGAAACCTAGAACAGCCAAGTTCACAGAGATAGAATATAGAATGGTGGTGGGCAGGGGCTGGGGGGAGAAGGAGATGGCAAGTTGGCATTGAATGATGGCATGGCATCTTGGTGTGGAATGATGAAAAAGTCTGGGAATGAGGACTGGTGATGACGGTTGCACAACAATGTGAATGCACTCAATGCCTCGGTGCACATTTAAAAATAGCCCAAACGGTAAATTTTAAGTTAAGTATATTTGAACACACACACACACTCTACCCCCACCTGCAGTGGAAATATTTTAAAGCACCGAGGGGCAGAGAAGCCAGCCAGAGTTTGTGTAAAAGCAGTGAAAACAGAAAGCAGGGACACACACATGGGGAGGGCTGCATGTCTTCCTGCGGCAGAGTCTGAAGTCTGACATCTTTTGGGGAATAGTTAGTCGAAAACAAAGCAGGTGCCAGCTCATGACGGATTCTGTTAGCTATGTTAAGAAATGTGAGCTGCAGGTACAAAGCCCCAGGGAGGCACTGAAAAGTTTCAAGCGGGGAACAGTGCAACCATATTTGGGCTATTAGATGGACCCTCTGGCTACGAGTGGGTGATGGAGGGCAGTAAGAAGGGGGGCGCTGGGAGGAGGGGTCAAAGGCCTCTGGACATCATCTAGGTGAGAGCTGATGCAGGCACAATGATGTCTGCATAGCAGAGGTCAAAGAAGGCGAACAGAAGAAGAAAACAGAATGAATGAAACTTGAATGCCAAAGGAAGAGCTGTCTAAGATTCCTGAATGAGGCTGAGAAGAACAAGATGAAGACTGCAGGAGCAAAAAGAGGTTTGCAAGGGCCAGGCGTGGTACACAGTCTTGAAGCCTGGGGCACAAATGGGTGAAGATGCCCAGTGCAATTCAGGATTTAAGAGGAGGCTCCATGGAGAAGGCTGGACCAACCCTAGTCTAGGACTCACTGGCATCAAGATGGAAGATAAAGTGAAGAAAGCAGCTAAGACTGCCCAGTGAGTAAGCCAAGGCTAGAATCTCAAGGACCTCCAACCCTTAAGGGATGGTGAAGGAAAGGTATTTATAAGAAAGTGGAGATAGGCATTGGAGAGAGGAGCTAGCCCTCCAGATAACTGGACATCCAAATGCCAAACTGGGAGCCAGATAAGGAACTAGGATCACCTTGATACATGTGGATAGGTAGCAGAGGAGCCAGCATTTGGAGATGGTCAGATGTGGTTGCTTTCCTGACCAAAGAATTCTAGCCTTGGAGGAGCAGAGACACCAGAGACCAACCTTCAGATGGCTCTTTATGCAAATGAGGACGCTGAGGCAGAAAGGCAGTGACTTGTCCAAGGACACACAGACAGTCAGGAGCAGAGCCAAGCCCAAACTCAGTCTCGGGGTCTGAAATCACACTCCATCTCCCACTTTTTCGAAAGCTAGCCCCAACCAAAGATGGGGCAGAAGCAGAGGTGTCGGGGCAGCATTCCCAAAGTGGCAGAACCCAGTGGACAGTGTCTGATCCTGGGCCATGGTGACCCTTCCCATCTGGCATCACCTTTGCCCTGGCACTCCCAAGACCAGTGGTCCAGCTCACCTGAGATGACCTCCAGCAGTAGCATCAGCTTCAGGCCGTCCCGGAAGTCCTCCTCGATGTTCTCAATCTGTGTTCCTGCCTTCCGGAGGTGGGAGTTGCACCATGCTGTAAACGTCTGCAGGAAGGAAAGAAGAGCAAGTGGTCAGGCTCTCCCACAAGCCACAAGGTCTCTGAGGCACTCACGAGCACCTCACTGTGTCCCCGGGACCCGGCTGCCTCATGTCATTTTCCCGGTTGTTTTGTGTGAGGTGCTGCGTGGGCTGGTATTGTCATCCTTGTTGGTTAAGACATCTGACGGGGTCAAAGAGGGCAAGAAATCCACTCAGTAGAGCCTCCAAAACCTTGCAGCATCATTCTCCTTCACCTCAATCAATCGTCACACAACCTCCTTCACCTCATTGCAGGGCAATAGCTGAGGGGTCACCCTGCAGGGCCAGTAGCCCGAGGGGGCACAGTGGGATGGACAAAGCAGCACCCTCCTTTTAAAGTCCACCCTCCCGACCTTCTTCCAAAACCATTATCCCCACCTACATTTAGAAGTGGTATGATTCTATTCTTGGCAGTTTACCTCTTAGATTTTAAAGCTTAGTATTGATCGTCACAGTTACAAGGTGGAGTATCCCAGAGGTAAAATATTAAGCCTCATTAACACCTTAGGGTAAATAAATTTATTAAATCCGTGGCCACTTGACAGCTAGCTAATGGAGAGCATTAATCTGGTTTACTGGGGGCAGAGTTCAGAGAAACAGTGTCCGGATAAGGAGAGAGGAAGGTAAGTACCCCATGGTGTATGTGTGTATACTGGGGGTGGGAGGTGGAGGCACCTTAAACTGCAAAAGTATGAGCAAGAATTTTTAAAAAGGACTGTAAGGAGACTAAATGAAAGATCATCATCATTGTAATTTTCTAATCTGTGGGGAGAGAACAGCAACCTTGAAGCTTCTGTATTCTGTCTTAACCAGATGATCAGGCAGGTCACCAACCAAGCTGTCCCAGGCCAAAAGCACCTCCTGGTGGCTCACAAGGAACAGGTGACTCAACAAATATAAGAAATAAAATGTGTGAGCTTCAGTTTCACTCACCCTTCCAAACAAAGCCTGGGCAAGTGCCTCTCCCCAGCTCACAAACAGAGAGAGGAGCTCTCCTGCTTTAGATCCAAACTATTTATTCCTTGCCGACTCAAGACTTCTCTGCACCAAATGGTACTGTCAATTATACAGGGGCTCAAGAGCCAACATTCAGTCACCCCCAGCAGGGCCAGCCAGGTCTCTCCCCACCCGTGCTGCCAAGTGGCAATGGTGAGAGTGAGCTATTCATCAAAACAGCAGCATCCACGCTAGAAATACTCCTCCTCTTCGGAAAGGTCACCAGACCCATGACCCCCACCACCACTTCCTCTTGCCCTGGGGAGCCCCAAGATGAACTGGCAAAAATGGGCAGGAGGAGGACAGGATGCCACACCAGTGAGGACCGGGGAGAAGAAACGGCTGAGCAGGTTTATAAGCAAGAATTGAAGAGCCTGGAGCAAGAGGAGACAGCAGTCACACAAGGAGGGGAGAGGAGGCTGTGTTATGACATTCCCCCAACACTGGGCCTCATTCCTTTTTTGTTATTTTCTTATTTATTTATGGCTCTGCTAGGTCTTTGCTGCTGTGCACGGGCTTTCTCTAGTTGTGATGAGCAGGGCCTACTTCCTAGTTGAGTGGTGTGGGCTTCTCACTGCCAGCTCTAGGGCACACAGGCTTTAGTAGTTGTAGCATGCGGGTTCAGTAGTTGTGGCACATGGGACTTAGTTGCCTCGAGGCATGTGAGATCTTCCGATTCCGAGACCAGGGATCAAACTCAGGTCTCCTGCACTGGCAGGTGGATTCTTATCCACTGGACCACCAGGGAAGTCCAGGCCTCATTCTTAAATCATATTTCACTAGGCACTTAGCAACACAGGATACTCTTTTTTCTCCCTGCAAACACATCTCCACTCTGTAGGCAAGCCCACTCCCAAGATAGGCAAAAGGGATGTGTGGGCTGTCCCAGAGTTTGATGAACCTGACACACAGGCTGAAGGTGGGCAGGAGACACACACTGACCCCTCAGCCTGGAGTGTCCTCTATATCAGGCCTGGCCAACTCACTCTCTTCTTCTAAGATGGGGCTAAGAGATCACCTCCTCCAGAAAGCCTTCCGGATAGCCACCCACCACATGGGGTGATGTGTCAGCCCCTGACACCCTGCATCGCCTGCATCACTGCTCTAATCCCACTGCAAGGTGGCCACTGGTCAGCTTCACACCTGGATTCAAGTCTTCACCCTAGAGTCTCAGCGCCCAGAGTCACAGATGCAGCACGGGGTAAAATAACAAAAATCCTTGCTCTGTGCAACAGACACTCTGGTGGATGTGAAAATGAGACGACTGAGTGAAGGAGCAAGTGAGGAACCGATACAAAGTGAGAGGATCCAGGAAGGTCCAACCACACCTGAAAGGTATCAGGGCAAGGGACTGACAGCTCTCAGGGACCCGCAGGAACCCTCTGGCTCAGAGGAAAGAAGATACAGCAGGACAGGAAAGAGTAGTTACAGGACGTTCCTAGTGGTCCAGCGGCTAAGACTCCACACTCATAATGCGGGGGGCCCCAGGTTCAATCCCTGGTTGGGGAACTAGATCCCACATGCTACAGTGAAGATCAAAGATCCTGCAACTAAGACTTAGCACAGCCAAATGAATAATTTAATAAAGGGAAAAAAAAAAGTATTCACTGGGTCCCCTTCCTCTCATGCTGGCATTGCAAACCAAGCAGGGATGGGAGGCTACTCAGTTTTTCTTTTCATTTTGCCGTAAATTTTTTGATGCAAAAAAATATTAAAGAATTTTAAAATCTTTACAATAAGTATAATTTTGTTTGTGGTTCCTTGTTCTCTTCCAGCTGTCATGAGTCCATATATGCACTTCTGCCTGGGTGTCACCATACTCTCCGTTGACGAGGGTGGGTCATTTACCACCATTTAGCATTTCCACCAGAGAAGGCAATGGCACCCCACTCCAGTACTCTTGCCTGGAAAATCCCATGGATGGAGGAGCCTGGTAGGCTGTGTGGTCCATGGGGTCACTAAGAGTCGGACACGACTGAGCGACTTCACTTTCACACACTGGAGAAGGAAATGGCAACCCACTCCAGTGTTCTTGCCTGGAGAATCCCAGGGACAGGGGAGTCTGGTGGGCTGCCGTCTATGGGGTCGCACAGAGTCGGACACGACTGAAGTGACTTAGCAGCAGCAGCAGCATTTCCACAGTACCTTCCCCTCATCTCCCTTCCAGGCCCACCCTCAGCTTCTGCCTGGGGTTTTCTGCTGACTTGGCAAGAAGTAGATCACCCCGGCAGCTCAGAGTTTCAGGTCCAGTGGTGCCGGGGTCCTGGTGGGAATCGCCAGCACCCTCACAGTCAGGGGAACCATAAAATCTCACTGTTTACCACCCAGTTGTAGAGAGGGGATGGGGTGAGAGGAAGGAGGAAGAGATAAAAAGATACCGCTTTTGCAAGAGGAAAAGTGCTGTTGAAAGCAGCCAGCCCCGTTTCCTGGAGAAGCCAGTCCCGGAGCCTCAGCTGGAAGGCTGAGACGCACCTGTGTTTGCCCAGACTCCTTCCCACAAAGGCCTGCCTCTGAGGCTGCGGGGGGCCACACTTGGCTAAGACGGCAAGGCCCCGTCCTGACCCAAATAGGGTGACTGCCAGGAAGGGGCCTCTGAGTACCTCCCCAACAAGCAGCACCCACCTCGAAGCTTGGGCCACAGAGGAAACAGTAACTCAGTGATCAAGAACATGCACTTGGGGGGAACCAGATATGGTTTAACACTCAGATCCATTCTTTACCAGCAGTGTGAGCTGCAGACTCGCCTCCCTGAATCTCAGGTGCCTTAGCTGCAAAATAGGGGTAGTGTCGGCACTTTATAAGTATCAGGCGGATTAACTGGAAAACATCTACAAAGTGCTTGCCACTTAGAACATGCTCAATAAATGATTAGAGGAAGGAGAAAACTAGCTCTTCCAGAACCTCCCCGGGGGACAGGCCTTGGAGGACTCAGCCCTGTGTGCCCCCAGCCCACACTCTCCTCCCTCCTCCAGCCACCCAGCTCGGTCCTGGGTTCCACCCATGGAAGCGATGCACCATGTCCGCAAGATGACACCTTGTGTCTGAGAACTCTTTTATTGAACTGGCCCCGATGTGTTACGGGAAGAGGGCTAAAAGTGCACTGTGGGGGCAGAAAGCCTATGACTTTGACCGTGGCCTTGTGGATCCCCCAGCAGAGGAGGCTGACGGGGCCCCAGGAGAGGAGACAAGTCAGGAGCAAGGTCCTCCCTGCATACCGCACAGACACTCTCCTCTGGCATGGGCAGGCCCTGGTCCCGAAGCCCCAGCTCCCACATGATGACAAATGGAGGCACCCAGCCCTGGGCAGGAGGGAAAGCCACCAGCCACAGGGGGACGCCCACACTAGAGACCCTGGCCCCACGACCTCCAGCCCAGATGCCCCAGCGTGGCAGGCAGGGCTGCCCCAGTAGGGTTACAATCCAGCCTGACTTCAAATAAACGCAGATGGCATCTTGCTGCCTCACTCCCAACCAGGCCCTGACCCATCCGAGCTTCCCCTTGCTCCAAGAGCTCTGTCAGAGGGTCTGTGCTTTGTCTCGGACAAAGGAGATAGGAGCTGATAGGCTTTACCGGGACCCGCTCTGCTGTAGAATGAGTTCGGGAGTGCGGACAGGTCTTAGGGAAAGGGCCTGGGCTTCACGCTGGAAGGGCGGCCGGAGCTGCAGTGGGGCTCACTCCCTTCTCATCCTTCACCCACCTCCACTGCACTGCACAGCCTCGGAGGACGCTGGACAGAGAGGGAGGGGCTGGCAGAGGACCCCTGCTCAGCTTCTCACTGACCTGGAAGCATCTGCCCTCGTGCCATCTGGCATGAAGGTGATTTGAGGAGACAAAGAGAGTAACTATCCAGCCCTGTAGCTCAAGGTTGCGAACGGTCCTGGCCCAGCTCCAACGGGGGGTGGGGGAGTATGGGACACAGGAGCTGAGTCAAGCTTCATGGAGATGATGGAGAAGCAACTCTGTCTACATT